GCTGCGGTGGCCGGGAGCGGCCACTGCACTCCAGTCTGGGCGACAGAGTGAGACTCCAACTCAAAAAAATAAATAAATAAATAAAATACAGCTTTAGATTTTGTTTTTTGCAACTCTTCTTCAGGCTAGTCATAGTTGATAAAATAAAATGCTTCGCTAGTCATAGTTGATAAAATAAAATGCTTCGTTAGTGTAGTAACTTGCAACCTAGCAGCCTGTTAACCTACAGTGGCTAATTCCTTTTATTTCTATTGTGATTGAAAGACATGGAATTGGCTGGGCATGGTGGCTCATGCCTGTAGTCCCAGCAATTTGGGAGACTGAGGTAGGAGGATGGCCTGAACCCAGAAGGTTGAGGCTGCAGTGAGGTGTGATGGTGACCCCATCTAATAGTAATAATAACAATAAGAAGAAAATAATAATCAGCGTCATCATCGTCATCATCGATGTGGAATTTGATTCTGGCAGTTGATCGTGATTTCTACTTTCCAGTCAAAGCCCCATTTCTTGTGGATTTAAAGAAACCGGAGTCTAAGATTCCTCACACTGTGAACTTCTACCTCAGAGCTGAACCTGGGGTGATTCTGGGAATCTGGTGAGTGCGTTGACTGGACACTGGGTTGCCTGATGGGACAGGCCTCCTGTTGGAAGGGCACAGAGGGGCAGTGTTGTGTGTCCTGTCTCTGGAGACTTTGGTGCTCTGAATGGACCCGGTTGTTGCTCCATACACTTTCCTCTTATATTGAAATTTGGCCTGCTTTATTTTGCTTTCCAAGAACTTTACTTTGGAGCATGAAGTCTTCTATAAGTCACCCTTTGCTTGTGACCCTACCCGCCTCTCCACCTTAGTCCACACCACCATATGTCCTCAACTCCAGACTTACTGACCTCCTGGCACATGCTCTGTCCCCAGTGCATCCTTCTCTTTCCCGTCTCTCTGCTTTCCCTCTTTTTGCCTGGCTGACTGCCTACGCATCTTCTGGGGCTCCCTTGACCTGGTTGCTTTCAGAGAAGTCCTTCCTCATCCCCCCACTCCATTTTAGATATGTGCTGTCATGTGCTTGTCCCCTATGACATTTATTTCCACTGTCATTATGTACATGTTTGTGTGATCATTTGGTTAATGTTGCTCTTCCTTACAAGGCTGTCTCTTCTGCAGGTGACAGACTCTGTTGGTGGGTTTTTGTTGCTTAGCACATGCTTGGTACATAGAAGGCACTCAATAAATATTTGTCAAATGAAGTCATGAACATTCCACTGTCTTTTGTTTTATTTATTTATTTAATTAATTAATTTATTTATTTGGGGTGGAGTTTCACTCTGTCACCCAGATTGGAGTGCAGTGGCACGCTCCCGGCTATCGCAGCCTCGACTTGTTGGACTCTGGAGATCCTTCTGCCTCAGCCTTCCAAGTAGCCGGAATTACAGGCGCACGCTATCACGCCCGGCTAATTTTTGATTTATTGTAGAGATGAGGTCTCGCCAAGTTGCCTGGGTGGGTCTTGAACCCGTGGGCTCAGGCAATCCACTCACCTCAGCCTCCCAAAGTGCTGGATTACAGACTAAGCCACCTAACCCAGACTCTACTGTCTTTTAAAATGCAAATTTCTTTTTTTTTGTTTTTGAGTGAGGCTCTTACCCTGTCACCTAGGCTGGAGTGCAGTGGTATGATCACGGTTCACCATAAGCCTCAGCCTCCAAAGTAGCTAGGACTACAGGTGTGTGACACCATGCTCAGCTAATATTTATTTATTTATTTATTTATTTTTGTAAGGATGAGGTCTCACTATGTTGCCCAGGGTGGTCTCGAACTCCTGGGCTCAAGCTGTCTTCCTGTGTTGGCCTCTCAAAGTGCTGGGATGACAGACATGAGCCATAGCACTAGGCCTAAAATGCTAATCTCAATATTTTCTTCTTTCTGGTTCTCTTCCTTGTTCTTGGCTGCCAAGTTTCCAGTGCCCTGTTTTATATACTTCACCTCACTGAGTTTAAACCCTTTATCATAAAATGATTAGGAACCAGTGTGTGTGCACATCGTTTCTTCCCATTCTACTGGGTGCAACTCAACTAATGATGTTGGAATTTAGAAAGCTTTTTGTTTTTATGTATGTATGTATGTATTTATTTATTTTTGCGTTGGAGTCTCACTCCGTGCCCAGGCTGGAGTGCAGTGGCACGCTCATGGCCATCCCAGCGTCGATTGCGAGTGGATTGCCTGAGCCCATGGGTTCGAGATCAGCTCAGGCAACTTGGCGAGACCTTGTCTCTACAATAAATAAAAAATTAGCCAGGTGTGGTAGTGTGCACCTGTAGTTTCAGCTACTTGGAAGGCTGAGGCGGAGATTGCTGGCACCCAGCAGGTCGACGCTGGAGTGGCAACAAGTGTGCCACTGCACTGCAGCCTGGGTGACAGAGTGAGACTCCAACTCAAAAAAAAAAAAATCTTTCTTTCTTGTCTCTTCAGTCAAACCAATGGCAGATGGCAAATATCTATTATTCCTTTACTTGTTTCCACCCACTTCTTTTCTTTTTTTGGTCATTTCAATGGACTGTACCTAAGAACTACTGTCTTGGAAAATTAATAGGTGCAGAAGTTAGGAGAATTAAAACAGTAAATGGTTAAATGGTATTGTTCTGTGCATGGGGAGATAGGGTTGGGCATTAGTGGTCTCGCCATAAGATGTTCAGTGGTATTAGACTTTTATTTTTACCATGTGCACATATTATTCAGATAAACAATTAAAAATATATTTTAATTTAAGCTATATATTAAGTATATAATTTCTACATGATATATGTTTTGTATGTTGGTATCTATATATTATATTTAATATACATTAATATATATAAATAAAAATTAAATATAAATATATATATATATAAAACCTAAGGAGGGTTTCAGACTTTGGCAAGGATGGAGAATTCTTCTCTGTGCATTTGTTCAAGCCCTCCCCTGTTTCTCAGGCACACAGTCCCCAGCTGCCGGGGGGAAGACGCCAAGGGGAAGGGCCGTTGCTGGTTTGAAGTGGCCCTTCGAGATGGGAACCCGATTGTTGTTTATCTTCACGGCAGTGCAGAACACAGGTCAGTGGCTCTACATGGATTTTGTTGTTGTTGTTGTTGAGAGACTGAGAGCATTTCAGCCCCATGGGGGAGTGAAAGGCAGGGCTCTGTTTCAACTCTGTAGACATGCCTTCATGTATTTCTTTTCCTTTGTTGAAATCTGAGGGCGTTCTGGCAATAGGCTTCTCTGAATAAGATTATTCTATATGTAGAATAATGTGGATCCTTCACAAAGAGAGAGAGAAAAGAATACCTTTCAAAATTTAGGCATTGATTTCAAAGAAGGCAGTGGTTCCTTACTCCCTAAGTGTTGGAAATGATGGATTGCACCCATGAACGATGGAAAGGAAATAGGCATATATTATGGGAAAAAGCAGGAGCATTTCCACATCAGTATTTTTTTCAGAAAACAGTGGGGAGTCCTTTATTTAACATTAATTCTGTTAACCAAAAGCGTGCCTCCCTGAGAGAGATCACCTGGAATTCAGATCACAGGGACTTGGGACTGTTCAATTCTAATCTAGAATATTCACGGCTCAGCCTGGCTCTCTGTAGTCTCAACCTTGCTTTGTAGCAAAGACTGTCTCCCAGAAGTCTGGCTCCCCTTTGATGTGCTGTCAGAGCCTTTCTGGGCCTGTGTAATTACGTTGGGTGATGATTATCAGTGGTGACTGTATCTCTTTAGCTTGGGGGAGGGTGATGTGCCTCAGAAACCCACAGATCTCCTCCATCTCAGGAGGGACGCCTTCCTCTGTCTCTTTTCCTCACTGTCCTTTTCTGTCAGGGGATGGCTTTCTCAACAAGACTTGCCTTTTCCCAAGGGCTTTTCTTGATGTGTTCATTTTAGAACCACAATCACGAAGATTTCCTTTTAAAATCGACATCTTCAACAATGTTTAACATTGTTCTGGTTGTGTAAACATGGGCACAGGGATACAATAAAGGTATTTAAAGGACCATGTGGACCATACAGCAAGTCTGCCCTTTGTGTAAATCTGCAACTGCCCTTCGTTATCTCAGATTTACTGGCTCTGGTTTCCTCTTTTCCTCTGCCCAGAAATGTCAGTGGTACTGAGCTGAAAGGACTGAGTACCCAGCAGTACTCCTCAAGTGGGAGCTTACAGGGACTCTGCTGATGCCTCAAAAACTGAGGTTCTAGACTTGAGACATGCAAGCCCCAGAGGGTCTGTGAACACCCTCCACAAAACGATACTTACAATTTAAAGCACGGGTACATTTTTTTTTTCCTGGGAAATGGGTCCAAAGCTTTAACTAGATGTTCAGAAGAGTCCATGACCCGCTAAAGTTTAAGAAACTTGGTTGTAAGACAAAACTAAAATGGCTTTAAATAATTCTCTGCCTTTTTACCAGTGATTGCGAGGGCTTAAGGAAGAGGGAGGAAAGAATAGACAGCACAGAGGATTTTTAGGGCAGTGAAAATCTGTAGGCTATGACAGTGGTGGTACATGTCATGCATTAATCAAAACCCATAAAAAGTACACCACCAAGTGTGAACCCTAATGGAAACTATGCAATTTGGATGACAGGAGATGGGTGAATGTAGGCTCATTGATTGTAACAAATATAATCCAGGGTGGTGCTCAGGATGTTTACAGGAAGAAAAGGTTGAGTGTGGGTGGGGATGGGAGAGGGAGTATGGGAACTCTGTATTTTCTGCTCAGTTTTGCTGTGAACTTAAAACTGCTTTGAAAAAAATAAATTGTATTAATTTCTAAAACAATGAACGTAAATAGATAAAAAAGATCATCATGCTTTTTCCTGAAAATACAGGTCACATTTTATTCCAAATATGTATTAAATATTATAAAAGAAAACTCTGTCACAATAAAGTATACAAGTACTTCTTTTTTTTTTTTTTTTGAGTTGGAGTCTCACTCTGTCGCCCAGACTGGAGTGCAGCGGCCGCTCCCGGCCACCGCAGCCTCGACCTGCTGGGCTCCGGCGATCCTTCCGCCTCAGCCTTCCCAGTAGCTGGAACTACAGGCGTACACTACCGCACTCGGCTAATTTTTTGATTTATTGTAGAGATGAGGTCTCGCCAAGTTGCCCAGGCGGGTCACGAACCCACAGGCTCAAGCAATCCACTCACCTCAGCCTCCCAAAGCGCAGGATTACAGGCTGAGTCACCGAGCCCGGCTACAAATACTTCTTATTTATAAACTTTTTGGTTTTTTTGAGTCAGTGTCTCACTCTGTGGCCCAGGCTGGAGTGCAGTGATGCGATTATGACTTACCACAGTCTCGACCTCCTGGGTTCAGACAATCCCTCAGCTTTAGCTCCCTGGATAGCTGGGACCACAAGTGCACGCCACCACACCTAGCCAGTGTTTAAAAAATTTTTGAGCAGATGGGGGGGTCTCGCTGTGTTGCCTAGGCTGGTCTCAAACTCCTGGGCTCAAATGATCCTCCTGCCTTGGCCTCCCAAAGTGCTGGGTTTACAGGTGTGAGCCACGGCACCTGGCCTACAAACCTAAAATAATAAAATCTACAATTACATTTAGATAATCTGGAAAGGACATTCATATTTTACAATACTGAATTGTGTGCCTGCCTAAGTGGTGGCATAATCACAGAAAGAATTCTCCACCTTTTGAGTCATCTTCGACTCTCTTTTATTGATGTGGTTAATGGAGAGTAGACAAAAAAAGCTGTTGGTACCTGCAGGGCTGTGTGAGTCTCTCTCCTGAACTTCCTCTAGCACTTCACAGCAGAGTGGACTGGGTGCGGACAAATCCTAGTTTGGTGCAGCTTGACTGCATCAACCCTTGTTCTGGAAAGCCGCTTTCCGGGACTTACTTTTCTCTAGCTTCTGCAAGTATTCTCAGAAATAAGTTTTGCTGTGCAGACGTGAAAGGAGTTGGGTTATCAGTCGTTTATCAGATGCTTATGAAGAGAAGCCCTGGAGAGATCTGGGCATCCGATCTCACTTAGAGGGGCGCTGCCACAGTGGGAGCGTCGACCACTCACCCTGATATATCCAAGCTAGTTCTGACACCACACACCTTTCTCTTTCTCCTAGTTTTTGATTCATCTAACTTGAAAAAGAAAGATGAGGGCTCAGATGCCTGCAGCATGGGAGTGATTTTTATTGACTTTGTCATTGTAATTCCTAATTCTTGCTTTTTTTTTTTCAAACTTTCACAGGGCAGCTTCTCACAGACTTGAGCTGATGAAGGTATGTCTGGAGAGGTCTCAAAGCACCCATTTTATAAGTCCCCCTGAATTCTGGTCTATAGTCGTAAGATGCTCCTCAGGCCCTCAGCATGGTTATCTTCTGAGAGGTTCCCAGAGTACTGGTCCGGGTGGGGTGTCTGCACAGGGGAGGGAAAGTGAAGAAGGTACGGGAGATGCTGGGCCTGGCAGGATTCTGGGCCCCACTAATAGAGTCACATCAGGAGAGAACTCTGAGGTAGGAAGCCACCGTGCGGGAGGTGAGACCAAGTCCCATGGTCAACAATTGGAAAAAAGGCTCCGGAGTGGACTTCTGTTCCTACATTGACAATGGGGAATCAAAACAGATGTGAACTTCTCTGGGTCCCAAAATATCTTCAGGAACTTATTTCCTTCATTGTTAGATGGAGGTGAAGACACTTTGCTTTTTTCTGAGGGCTGGGGGATGAGTTGAGAGTATATTAAATGCAAAATGATCACCTTTAACATGTTTTTTCGAGTTGGAGTCTCACTCTGTCGCCCAGACTGGAGTGCAGTAGCACGCTCCCGGCCACTGCAGCCTTAACCTGCTGGGCTCCAGCGATCCTTCCGCCTCAGCCTTCCAAGTAGCTGGAATTATAGGCGCGTGCTGCCACGCCTGGCTAATTTTTTGATTTATTGTAGAGACGAGGTCTTGCCAAGTTGCCTGGGTGGGTCTCGAACCTGCAGGCTCAGGCAATCCACTCGTCTTGGCCTCTCAAAGTGCTGGGCTGACAGGCTGAGCCACCGAGACCGGCACCTTTAACATTAAAAAAATTTTTTTTTGAGTTGGGGTATCACTCTGTTGCCAGGCTGGAGTGCAGTGGCATGATCATGTTTCCCCGCAGCCTCAGCCTCTTGGACCCAGGAGATCCTTCTGCCTCAGTCTTCTGAGTAGCTGGGACTACAGGCACACACCACCATGCCCGACTAATGTTTTTTCTTTTGTTGTTTTTTTTCTTTTTTGTATAGATGAGGTTTCACTCTGTTGCCTAGGCTGGTCTTGAACTCCTGTGCTCAAGCAATCCTGCCACCTTGGCCTCTCAAAGTGCTGGGATTACAAGTGTGAGCCTCTGCTCCTGGCCAGGTCATCTTTTAAAAAAGAGGCAAGCTTTTCAGTGGTGTAGGCTAAAGACACACAATGTCTGCTTCTGAAAGTCATTCAAGCCCTGGCTTCACCCCTGCAGAGGGATTTGTGGAGTCGCATGGAGACCACACTTTGTTCTCCTCACTCCATGCTGCGTGGCTCTGGGTTGTTGGGATAGCCCCGGCATTTTCAGGTGTGAGGGAGATGGTGGGCTTTCCACTTGGCCATATCTGCCTCAGAACTGGCCAGGCATGCTACCTGTGTATCCTCTTCCACACTCCAATTAGGTCATCTCTGCTGCATGCGGCCGGCTGCTTTTCCAGTTGTTGACCATGAGAATTGGTCTCGTCTCCCACATGGTAGCTTCCCACCTCAGAGTTCTCTCCTGATGTGACTCTATTAGTTGGCGTCCAGAATCCTGCCAGGCCCAGCATCTCCCATACCTTCTTCACTCTCCCTCCCCTGTGCAGACAGGAAGCTCCTCTTCTCCTGTTACCCACCCCCACCTTGCCCCTTCTCAGAGTCAACTCTTTTTATTTATTTTATTTTTGTATATTTTTTATTTTAAAGATGTAGGGTAAGCCAGATGCGGTGGCTCAAGCCTGTAATCCCAGCATTTTGGGAAGCTGAGGTGAGGGGATTGCCTGAGCCCATGGGTTCAGGAACAGCCTGGGCAACTTGGTAAGACCTTATCTCTACAATAAAAATTTAAAAAATTAGCTGGGCATGGTAGTGCATGCCTGTAGTTCCAGCTACTTGGAAAGCTGAGGCGGAAGGATCACCAGAGCCCAGTGGGTCAATGCTGGGGTGGCTGTGAGCATGCCACTGCACTCCAGCCTAGGCGACAGAGTAAGACACTGACTCAAAAAAAAAAAAAAAAAAAAGATGTAGGGTACAATTCAGGATTAGGTATACAAGTGGTCATGATACAGGTAAAGTTTGGGCCTCCCTTTGGTCCCCACTTTGTCTGGTTTGAGGTCAGGTACCCTTACTGATGTAGCATCCCCCTCTCCCACCCACCACTACTGCCAATCCCTTTCTTATAGTATTATGGTCAATGTTCAGGGTTCACTTATGAGTGAGAACATGTGGTACTCAATTCTTTGTTTCTGTGATAGATCACTGAGCATTATAGACTCTAAATCTATCCAAGTTGCTGCGAAGTCCATATGTGTGCCCTTCTATATGGCTGCGTAATGTTCTATGGTGTCTATGTACCACATTTTTTTTTTTAATCCAGCGCCAACTCTTATAGAGCGGTGGTGGGCTAGGTGCAGTTTTGCCTGGATAGGATGGTGTGTATTCACTTTTAGGGTTTGCTTTCCACTCTGTACCCTGCTCCTCGTACTCTCCATGTGAAGTGTGGTGAAGTTGATGCCCATGGGAGCGCGTATCCCCCCCACCAAAGCTGAATTGCATGCCTCCAATGTTCCCAGAGAGGAGAGGAGCTGTAGGTATGAAAAGTAGCCAGGCGATCCTTGTGGTAGTGACAGTGGGTGGGGAAGGAGAGTGACTGGGGTGGCAGGGCTCTCTTCCAGACACATTGTGGCTGTCGAATGCCACTGTCATCATTGTCCAACAGGACCAAACTTCCTTAGCCCTTTCCTTCCTCCTCAGGATAGGTGATGTTCAAAAAATAAATCTTTATTATTAAATTCTTACTCATTCATTCTTATTCAATTGGCTAATACTACTTTTTTATTTATTTGTATTCCTAGCTAGTCTTTATTGCTCTAAGTTTTGTTATAATGCTTTTGTCTGTATATAATCTTTTTTTTTGAGTTGGAGTCTCACTTCTTTGCCCAGGCTGAAGCAGAAGGATTGCCGAGGTCCAGCCACCCCAGCGATGACCTGCTGGGCCCCGGCGATCCTTCTGCTTCAGCCTTCCGAATAGCCAGAACTACAGACACACGCTACCATGCCCGGCTATTTTTTAATTTTATTGTAGAGATGCGGTTTGCCAAGCTATCTGGGCTGGTCTCAAACCTGCAGGCTCAGGCAATCCACTTGCCTCGGCCTCCCAAAGTGCTGGGATTACAGGCTGAGCCACTGAGCCCGGTTTATATAATCTTATGTTGTGCTTCTTTCTTTTTGAGTTGGGATCTCACTCTGCTGCCCAGGTTGGAGTGCAGTGGCACCATCACTGTTCACTGCAGCTTCAGATTCCTAGGGTGAAGGCATTCTCCTGCCTTGGCCTCCCAAGCAGCTGGGGTTGACAGGCGTGGCACCATCAACCCAATTTTTTGATATGAGGTTTCACTGTGTTGCCTAGATTAGTCTTGAACACCTGCGCTCAAACAAGCCTCCTGCCTTGGTCTCCCAAAGTACTGGGAGTCCTGGGATTACAGATGTGAGCCACCGGGCCTGATGTGCTTTTTATTTTAATACTATTTTGTAGACATTCTTCCTTGTTTTTACATTGTTACCCTAGTTAACAGATTTAAAGGCTGTATTATTCTCCACTGTATTTATAAACAATTGTTTACAACTATTCCACTGCTGTTGGATTTAAGTACCGCCCTCCCTTGGGTTCATTTTACATAGCATTGTTATAGAAAACTGTAAGCATCTGGTTTTTCCTTCCTTCATATCTTTTTCCTAGAGAGTCATTCTTAGAAGTAGGGTTTGTTGCCGCTGTTGTTCTTGAGGTGTACCATTGAGTGGTCCTTCGTGCCTCAACAACACGTGAATATTCCCATTTCTCTGGATGCTTAGCGCCATGTGTCTGGGCTGACTTTTTTCCTTGGAGGGAATGTAGTTTGAATAGATATTTGACAGTTACTTGTAGCTCCTCATTGTTAGCTCAGTTTGTATTTACAAGTTCCTAAAGAGGTTTAGCCACCCACATCCACACTGTAGCAGGGGAAGCAACGTATTTGGTCACAGTCCGACCCAGGTGTGAATCTTGATTCTGGCTCTGGCCAACAAATTATTTAAACTCTGTAAGGTGCAGTTTCTTTATCTGTAAACAGGTACAGTAGTACTGTCGTGACGACTGAAAGTTCCTGTACAGTAAAATTTTGTCTTTTTTTTTTTTTTTTGAGTTGGAGTCACACTCTGTCGCCCAGACTGGAGTGCAGTGTCCGCTCCCGGCCACCGCAGCCTCGACTTGCTGGGCTCCGGCGATCCTTCCACCTCAGCCTTCCAAGTAGCTGGAACTACAGGCGCACACTACCACACCCAGCTAATTTTTGATTTATTGTAGAGACGAGGTCTCGCCAAGTTGCGTAGGCTGGTCTCGAACCTACAGGCTCAGGCAATTCACTTATCTTGGCCTCCCAAAGCGTGGAATTACAGGCTGAGCCACCGAGCCCGGCAAATTTTGTCTCTTTTTAATCTCTATCTTATTTCCTTTCATGTAAAATTATGTTTTCATAGTCTTCCCTCCTTTATGTACTAAAAACTTGTCAGTGGTTTTATATATTAGAGTGATCTCTTAATTTTTTATTGAAATCAACTCTAATTTATTCATATTTAATATAATTAGTTTCCCATTTTCTGATTTTCTCTACTGTGACTCTATGTAGAGTTCTTATTCTCAAGGGATTATTTTAAAAAGACAACTATGAAATCAGATACTTTAACATATCATCTCATATAATTTTCTAACAACCCTGAAGGTACCTATTACTGTTTTTCACTTTTCAGAATAATATTTACCTAGGTAAATGTTAATAACATGGCCGGGGTCACACAGCAGGTAAGTGACCCAGGCTGTTTGACCCTGCTCTGTCTTGCTGCTTTCTGTCTTTCCCACTGAGCCAGAGTGTCTCAAGTTTAGAGTCAAACACAAGATTTCAAAAATACAAACCAGACCTGTTCAACTGTTGCAGCTAGGGGTGAGCATGTGGAGGAGAAGCCTTTTTGTTTACATCTTATAATTAAAGTGATAACTGCTCCTTTGTTCTCTAGGTCCTGAGTGATGGTGGCTTTCATGTCTTGTCTGTTGACTACAGAGGTATGTGTTAGGAACGGTGTGTAAAGATTTTTCAATAAGCCTGAGGCTTTTGTTAATTTCTCCTTTGTAGAATGTGAAACTGTGTTTGCCTTTTTCTGCTGTCAGGATTTGGGGACTCTACAGGTAAGCCCACAGAGGAGGGACTCACTGTGGATGCTGTTTGTGTCTATGAGTGGACCAAGGCGAGAAGTGGCACCACTCCCGTGTGTCTCTGGGGTCATTCTCTGGGTACAGGGTAAGTGGGATCTGAAGATTTGTCCTTGGGTTCCTTGGGGCTTTAGTGTCATATTAAAGGCAGCAGTGAATTGTGGAAGGAGCCAGGAGACAGGGATTCTTCTCTGGTCTCTCTCACACTCCAGAAGTGAATAGCAATCTTGCCATCTCAGTATGCCTGTCTGTAAAACAAGAGAGGGTCCCTTGAGCTCTATGATTATCTATGACATTGAAATCATTCAGGAACTCTCCTTGGGAATTTTAGAGAAAAGGATTCTTAATTTAAGACTCATGGAACCTCTTGAAATATGTGCAAAATTTTGAGTCTGCATGATTTTCTAACCAGAGAGCCCAGTGCTTTTATCAAATGCTCATACTGAATATTGCCTTTTGTACTGTTTACTTGATGGTCAAGTCACTGCCTCACGTATGTACTAATTTTTGTTGTCTTACAGAGTTGCAACAAATGCTGCAAGAGTATTAGAGGAGAGAGGTAATATAAAATGCTTAAGTGGTATACTTTCTTGGCTTGAGGTGGGAAAATAAAAAACAGTCAAGAAACTATTGTGTGCACCTGGAACACAAAGATACCTAAAGCATCTCAACTTTACCTAGTTTCTGACCGCGTAACAAATATTCTTTCTTCTCTTCATTCAGCATAAACCTTTTACATTCATAACCTTTTCCAGGTTATGAAATTAAAAATAAATACTAAGGGAAGAATTAAAATCACATTTGCAAGAGCCCTATGAAGTGATATTAATTTAAATTACAGGAGAAGAGAATAACACATTATAAAATAATAGGCAATACTTTCTTTCTGCATTTCTTCTTACATAACATTTATGCCAGTATTTCTTTTCTTTTTTTTTGAGTTGGAGTCTCACTCTGTCTCCCAGACTGAAGTGCAGTGGCATGCTCACGGCCACCCCAGCGTTGACCTGCTGGGCTCCGTTGATCCTTCCACCTCAGCCTTCCAAGTAGCTGGAACTACAGGATCGTGCTACCACACTTGGCTGATTTTTGATTTATTGTAGAGATGAGGGCTTGCCAAGTTGCCCAGGCTGGTCTCGAACCTGTGGGCTCAGGCAATCCACTCGCCTCGGCCTCCCAAAGTGCTAGGATTACAGGCTGAGCCACCGAGCCCACCAGTATTTCTTAAAGTGTTCTGAGAACTGCTTGTATCAGAATCTACTAGGGTGCTTGTTAAAAAAAGTTTTCCTGGATTCTTTTTTCTTTTCTTTTTTGAGTTGGAGTCTCACTCTGTCACCCAGACTGGAATGCAGTAGCCGCTCCCGGCCACTGCAGCCTCGACCTGCTGGGCTCTGGTGATCCTTCCGCCTCAGCCTTCTAAGCAGCCGGAACTACAGGAGCGTGCTACCATGCCTGGCTAATTTTTTGATTTATTGTAGAAATGAGGTCTTGCCAAGTTGCCCAGATGGGTCTCAAACCTGCGGGCTCAGGCAATCCACTCACCTCAGCCTCCCAAAGCTCTGGGATTACAGACTGAGCCACCGAGCCCGGCTTTTTCCTGGATTCTAACTGGTCTAATGAACTTGAATCTTTGTGAATAGGGTCAGATCATTTCTTTAAGATCAAAAATTAGAATTTATTTCATATGTGGAGGTACTGAATAAATACAAATAATCATTACTCTAATGCTATACAATTAAAAAACCCCAAAGCCAGTTATCTGCTTTTTTGGTTTTTAGTCTATTTTTATATGTCTAGTTGTTTTTAATTAAGTGCTAGATATTTTTTATGGAAAATCATAGAAATGATTTGAGGCTTGGAGTGATGTTATCTTCTTCCAGATATACTTTTCTTTTCTCCTGAAAGGCATTTATAGTGGGAACAGATCACCTTAATGCAATCAGAGACTGAGCTGACTTAAAGCTAGGCTTCAATCTTTATGAGGGCTGGTCTAGTTCTAGTTCACTATTATTCCTAAGGTGCAGTCCTCTGAAGTCACAACCAAACAATTGAGAAATGTACTAGGGTCCAATTCCTTAGATCCTGATTCCAATTTTTGTCTTTTGATTATGTGAAAATGCTGAAAGTTTTGTCTAGTTTCTAATCCTGTCAGCCACCACTGTTGCTTTCAGAACTTCAACTGTTTTGAGAGGAAGGGCAACTCAAACTTTCTGGGCTTCTTTCTTTTGGTATTGGCTCTGCCAATTCTCACTGGTCAATAGCCCTCATGTGCCTTCAAACATGTACATACAAATATACATATACAGAGACATGTATTCTCCTCTCACACACATTTTTTATTTGTTCTGAATCAGTGCTGACCAAAACAACATACTTAGCCTCTGGCACATTCTTAACAATGGACTGCAGGACACTGTATTCTTGTAGTACTTTGCTTTATTAAATTATTCAAGCCATGAAGACCTTGTGTTCTTAGAAGAAGGTAGTGGTTTTCAAGTATGGCAATCATAGAAATCTTTTGGCAGGCCGGTGGAAGCTTGTTAAGAATGCACATTCTCAGCCGGGCTCGGTGGCTCAGCCTGTAATCCCGCGCCTTTGGGAGGCTGAGTTGAGTGTATTGCTTGAGCCCGCGGGTTCGAGACCCGTCTGGGCAGCGAGACCTCATCTCTACAATAAATAAATTAAAAAAAAATCAGCTGGGCGTGGTAGCACATGCCTGTATTTCCGGCTACTTGGAAGGCTGAGGCGGAAGGATCACCGAAGCCCAGCAGGTCGAGGCGGCCACCGCACTCCTGTCTGGGCGACAGAGTCTGACTCAAACAGACAAACAAACAAACAAAAAAAGAATGCACATTCTCAGTCGCCACCCTGAGATTCTGACTCATAAATGTGGTGTGGGGCCCAGGAATTTGCATTATTAACAAGCTTCACAAATAATTTTGGTGCAGGTAGTTCATGTACAAGACCTTGAGGACTCCTTATCTATGGAAGATGGAATTTAAATAGGGGCGTTACTGATTTTTTTAAAAAAAATTTATTATTTTCAAGGATGCCCAGTTGATGCTATTGTCTTGGAAGCTCCATTTACCAACATGTGGGTTGCAAGTATCAATTATCCCTTGTTAAAGGTAAGTCTCTGATTCATCTTCACAAGGTACCATATGTACCAAACATACATGGATGTTCATTATCTTCCTTTTCTTAACTAGTTTTATGTGTTTCTGAGTTATTCTAACTTTAGACAGTTTATTAACCGGTTACCATAAAAAGGAATGGCTAGCTTTGGATTTCATAGTTCTTTTATTTTCATCTAGCAGATTGAGAGGCTAATTAAGAGTGAAAAGTTTTTTTTTTCTTTTCTCACTAACTTCCTCTTTTATAATTTTTAATAGATAGACTTGCCTTAGTCTTATTTTTTTATTGTTGCTCCTTTTAAATGTGAAAACAGACATTTTATAGATTGCTTTTAGTCCTATATCAGTCATATTTATTTTCTGACTTTATTATAAGAAGTTTCTAGAGAATTCAAGGAAGCTACCAAATGCTTTTACACAGATAGAGACAATCTCCCCAGGAAAATAGAGTATGAAGAATTGGGCTACAAGATGTAGTCTAAAAAACATTTTGTGTTAGATTATCCTATTTTTATAATTTTATTCTATGCCTGATGCTTAACTACTTATAGTCATACATCTATATAAATTTTTTTTTGAGTTGGAGTCTCACTCTGTCACCCAGACTGGAGTGCAGTGGCTGCTCCCAGCCACCGCAGCCTCGACCTGCTGGGCTCCAGCGGTCCTTCCGCCTCAGCCTTCCAAGTAGCCGGAATTACAGGCATGCACTACCACGCCCGGCTAGTTTTTGATTTATTGTAGAGATGAGGTCTCGCCAAGTTGCCCAGGCGGGTCTTGAACCCGCGGGCTCAGGCAATCCACTCACCTCAGCCTCCCAAGGCACGGGATTAAAGGCTGAGCCACTGAGCCCAGCTCATCTATATAAATGTTAACAAATGAGAGAGGGCGAGAGAAAGTCTTAGAGCGGATACATGGCTCCAATTTAAAAATTGTTGTTTCCTGCTATTAGGCATTGTAGGGGTACTTTAATCTAACTCTCAACTTTGGGAGCTTTTTTGTACAACAGACCTTTATAGAATTTCTGAAATTCGCTTAACTATTTTCAGGTAAAGGTAACTCACCACTTCACATCATCACATAATCTTGAAAATGCCTTTAATATTCAAGTTTCAACTTCATACAGAAATTCTCTCTATAAACTAAGATACTGAATGATGAGTAATTTAATATTTAATAAGTAATACATTTTCAGTTGGTTCTAGATAATTGAATGTCATTTTATTATAATTACTAATCAAACATCTATTGTATTACTTTAAGAATTTATCAATCTTCATTACATTGTAGGCATGTAGCAGAATTCAGATACAATCTTTTATTTAGTTTGTTTTTTAAAAAATCATTCATTTTATAATTTAGCAAAATAGGGGAAATACATGATTTAATGAGCAATTATAAACTGAACACCCATGTAACTATCACTCAAGTCAAGCAATTAGCATCACTAGCTCCCCAGAGACCCTCTGTAGGCTACTTCCCAATCCAGTAAGCTTCATCTAAAATGTAACCCTTGGCTGCCGTTGCTTTCCCAGACTCTGGTGTGACTGTGTGCTCGTTAAGCTGTGGCTACTGCCATGTTTCCTAAGCTCTGGCCCCTCTCCTATCTTGGAGAGGTGAATCCTCTCTCTCTCTTACTTTCTAAAGAGACCCTATTTTCTAATCTTAAAAAAAAAATGTAACCCTTAGTCCTTAGGTGTAATCCTTAAGATGAATTTTGTGGTGATTATATCCATGCTTTCTTTATAATGAATTGGCGTAATACTATAAGAGAATGATTGGCAGTCGTGGGAAACTGCCGAGAGGGAGGTGAGGAAGTGGAATTGGTAATAGTGGGAATCTGCCTGGGTAAGGAGCGGGGGCGGCACACCTCATGAACAAAGGTACCTGCATAATGAACATTTGTATACCTGACCCTGAATTGTACCCCACGTCTTTAAAAAAAAAAAAAAAAGTTACAACCTGTGTGTGCATCTCTAAGCAGTATAGTGTTTGAACTTTGTATATGAGTGAGTAAAATTAAATAGAATGTATTTTGTTTTTTCACTCCACTTTACATTTGTGGGACTTTATTCATGATGCGCATAGTGTAGTATGGACGTGGTCTGGTCATTTTCATTGCTATGTGCTATTCTTTGTATGAACAATGTATTGATTTAGATTTATCATTGCTTATAGATATTTGGGTCACTTTCAGTTTAGGACAATTAATAATATTGTTGTTATGAATGTTTTTGAAACGTCAACAATGTCACTGGGGTCTGTTCTAGAAGTGGAATTGCAGGGTAATCAGGTATGCATATGCTCAGCTTTAGTAATAATAGCGTCAGGCACTTTTCCAAAGTGACTTCATCTCGTTACTCTCCCACTAATTGTATATGAGAGTTCTAGTTGCTTCACATCCTTGCTTTCATATTGATATGTCATTATGGTTTTAATTTGCATTTCCCTGACAACTAATGAGGTTGGGCAATTCTTTGGTTTTTTTGAGTCAGGGTCTCACTCTGCAGCCTTAACCTGGTGGGCTCAGGTAATCCTTCTGCCTCAGCCTTCCAAATAGCTGTAACCACATGTGTGGGCTATCACACCGGGTTAATTTATAGATTGTAGCAACGAGGTTTCACCAGATTGCCCAGGCTGGTCTCGAACTCCTGAGCTCAGGCATTCCTCTTGTTTCAGCCTCCCAAAATGCTGGGATTATAGGCTTGAGCCACCCCGCCCAGCCAGGGCAATTCTTAATATGTTTATTGGCCACTTGGATATCATCTCTTGTGGGGCATTGTTCATGTCTTTTGCTCATTTTACCTTATTGATACTATGTTTCCCCCCTCCTTCCCCCACCCAAGTTGTTGTATTTCTTTTTATTTGTAGAATTGCTTCATAGATGCTGAATATGAATCATTAGAAAATTATTGGGCTCAGGGGGTCAGCCTGTCATCCCAGTCCTTTGGGAGGCTGAGGCAAGTGGATTGTCTGAGCCCGCGGGTTTGAGACCCACTTGGGCAACTTGGTGAGACCTCGTCTCTACAATAAATAAAAAAATTAGCCGGGTGTGGTAGCGCACGCCTGTAGTCTGGCTACTTGGAAGGCTGAGGAGGAAGGATCGCCAGAGCCCAGCAGGTTGAGGCTGTGGTGGCCAGGAGCATGCCACTGCACTCATCTGGGTGACAGAGTGAGACTCCAACTCAAAAAAAAAAAGGAAGAAAATTATTTGTATTATAAATATATTCTTTTATTCTTTTTACTCTTCTAGTGGTATTCTTAAATTTAATGTGGACCAGTTTATCTTTCTTTATGGTTCATACTTTTGTGACATGTGTAGTAAAATTCTGTTTACTCAAAATGTATAAAGACACTTTTCTGTGTCATCTTCTAGAAACTGTTTTATCTTTTATATTTAAAGATATAATCCACAGGTTTGGATTTTTGCATGAAGGTAGGAGTCCACATGAATGTCTAATTGGTCCAGCACCGCTTATTTTTTAAATTAATTAATTTTAAAGATGTGGGGTACAATTTAGATTTAGATATTCAAGTGGTCATCATACAGGTAAAGTTTGGGCCTCCCTTTGGTCCCTGCTTCACCTGGTTTGAGATCAGATTCCCTTATTGATGCTGTGTTCCCTCTCCCCCCCCACCCAGCAGTGTTCCACTACCGCCAATTCCTTTCTTATTGTATTATGGTAAATGTTCAGGGTCCACTTATGGGTGGAAAATGTGGTATTCAGTTCTTTGTTTTTGTGGTAGATCACTGAGAATGATAGACTGTAAATCCATCCAACTTGCTGCAAAGTTCATAATTTTGTCCTTCTTTATGGCTGTGTAATATTCCACTGTGTATATGTACCACATTTTTCTATTCATTCCAGTTTTGATTTTCAAAAGTAATTCATGTCTGTAGTGAATTTGGTAAGGAAATGGCTGCCAATCTATCACAAAAACAAAGAACTGAGTACCGTATGTTCCCACCCATAAGTCGACCCTGAACATTTACCGTAATACAATAAGAAAGGGATTGGCGGTAGTGGAACACTGCTGGGGTGGGGGGGAGGGGAAGGAGGGGGCACATAGCATCAATAAGGGAGTCTGATCTCAAACCAGGTAAAGCAGGGACCAGAGGGAGACCCAAACTTTACCTGTATGATGACGACTTGTATACCTAAATCTGAATTGCAGCACAATTGGTTCCATGTTTTTGCTATAGTGAATAGCAGCACCACTTGTTAAACCAATCTTCCCACCGCACTGCAATGCCAGTGTTGGCATATATCAGTGTCTGTATATAGAGAGAGGTCTGGTAGTGCATTCTCACTTCTCTCCATTGTCTATCTGTCCAGCCTTATATGAATACTACAATTTCTCAATGACTGTGGCTTTATAATGTCTTGATTTTTGGTTGCATAAGTTCCTCAGCTTTGTTCTTTCTATTCAAGACTGTCTTGGCTATTCTTGCCCCTTTGCATTTCCATATACATTTTGGAACACACTTCTCAATTTCTGCAAAATACTTGCTGTGACTTTGGGATTGTATTGGATCTATAGATCAATTTGGGGGAATTAATATCTTTCCAATATTGAGTCTTCCAATTCATGAATGCTGAATTTATTATTTATTTATTACTTAGGCTTTCTTTTGTTTCAGCTTCAGATTATATTCTCCTAGAAGCAAAGACAGAGGTAGAAAGAGGAGTTGAGAAATGTGAACCAAGACCCCTGGCAGGAATGGGGTGATAATGTATTATAAAATACCTGAGGGTCAATATGGGGCTTCTGTATTGGTCTTTCATATTCATTATTCTTTTACATTCTCACAGCAGCTCTGTGAGTTTGGCATCATTGCATCCACTTAGAGGTAAGAGAAATGGAGGCTTAGAGGCTTGCCTAATTGTCAGGTACCTTATAAGAAGAGGAGATTGGACTCAGTCTTCTAACTCTAGGCAGACATGTTGGAGGTAAGCAGCCTCTGGAATGATAGATTGTGACCAGATGCCATTGGGTTTGCAGTCAGGCCAGGAGTTGTTATTGTTTTTAGTGGATAGTGAGGCGTTGCCAAAGCTTTATAATAGCAGGCTTTATGTAACTGGTATTATAAGAATATCTGGTGGCATTACAGGAGAGGAAGATAGACCAGTTAGGATTCCCTTGCCGTGGTCCGGGCTGGAGGGAATGGTTGGCCTTTGAATCTCAAAGGGCATTCTGGTAGTAGGGAGTGAGGAATAATGGAATAGATTGACTTGGGTCTGCTTTCTTCTGCTTTCTTCTTACTCTTTCAGAATTTGAGATGAATTGCTAAAGGGCTTCTCTTATTGAATTTTCCTCAGAGGAGTCTTGATTCCAGGAGTGGGGGAACAAGAAGACCAAGAAAAGAGAAAACAAAACAAGAAATCTTGTCTTTGGCATAGAAGAGGAAGGAGAAGAAAGAAAGAGAAAGAGCGGCAGTGTTAGGATGTCCAGACCACACCTGAATGCAGATCATTTGCTTTTAGTCCATATGAAAAGTGCAGACCCGCCAAGTCCCATGAGATCCAGGAGGTTCCTGGAAACAGCAAGCCTTTGTCCACACCGTGGAGCAGAAGTTCATAGTTATGGGTGCTAGGCTATCTGTTCGCACTTGTTTCCTTGCCAAATTCACTACAATGACATGAATTACTTTTGAAAATCAGGAAAAAGGCTGGGCGTGGAAAAAGGCTGAGAGCTACTGCACTCCAGTCAGGGTGATGGAGTGAGATTCCAATAAAAACAAGCAAACAAAAAATCAGGAAAAATAAAGTTTTTTTAAAGTTTATTTTATTTATTTATTTATCTCTCTATTTATTTATTAAGAGTTGGGGTCTCATTCTGTCACCCAGGCTGGAATGCAGTGACATGATTGTGGCTCACCACAGCATGAAACTCCTGGGCTCCTACGATCCTTCCGTCTTAGCCTCTTGAGTAGCTGGGACCACAGGCGTGCAACACCACACTTGGCTAATTTTTTAAAACAGTTTTTGTAGAGACGAGGTCTCGCTATGTTGTCCAGGCTGTTTTCCAACTCCTGAGCTCAGTCAACCCTCCCACTTTGGCCTCCCAAAGTGCTGGGATTACAGTAATGAGCCACGGTGCCCGGCTTAAAACTCATTATATTTAGAAAGTCACTCTTCCTTCTTTTACTACAGTTCATATTAGGAGAGTATAATAAATAACATTATAGCCATGGGGCAAGCTTTAATAATTTCTTTTTTCCTTTTTAAAAAATTGTGAAGCACAAGTTGGTATTCATTGGTTCCAGCCTCCCTATTCTGTCTCCATTTCTTACCCCCCGGCATGTTCTCTTCTATCTCTGCTCTCAGGCACAATAGTGAAAATGTGTAACACTTTGCTGATTTTTTCCTCTTTGCAAATCTATTTTAAGGAATAAAATCTGAAATTCAATCATACTAGGATAAAAATGATAGATAGTAGCTTAAAGTGTACACCAGAAATATTTAGAAAATAGATTCATTTCTTTTTTTTTTTTTTTTGATTTGGAGTCTCACTCTGTTACCCAGACTGGAGTGCAGTGGCCGCTCCTGGCTACCGCAGCCTCGACCTGCTGGGCTCCGGCGATCCTTCCGCTTCAGCCTTCCGTGTAGCTGGAACTACAGGCGTGGGCTACCACACCCGGCTCATTTTAATTTATTGTAGAGATGAGGTCTCGCCAAGTTGCCCAGGCGGGTCTCGAACCCGCAGGCTCAGGCAATCCACTCACCTCGGCCTCCCAAAGCTCTGGGATTACAGGCTGAGCCACCTAGCCTGGCCGACTCATTTCATTTTTAACAAATATTTATCAAGTGTTTTATATGTGTAAGGAACTTTTCTAGGTTCTGAGGATACCACAGAGAATAAGAAAATTGTGGTCCCTCCTCCTATGGAGTGTATAGACTTTGCAGAGAAATAGATAGATGATAAGTACATAAAAAATATCCAGTAGTGAGAAATGCTGTGAAAGCAATCAAACAATGTGGCAGAGAATGACGGGGTGGTGGGGGCAAGGTTAGATAGCTGACAATGGAAAACCTCTCTGAAGAAATATCATCTGACCTGAGACCTGCATGAACAGGAACACCTGGAAGTCTCAGGCTGGGGGTAAAGTGAAGGCAAGGAGGCGGGATCAAGCCTGGCATGTTCCAGGAGCAGAAGGCAGCAGAGCCTGAAGGTGGGCAGGGAGGGCTTAGTGACTGGATATGGAGCTGTTTAGAATGAGAGGTTATATTTGGAGTCCTGTGGTTATTGTTAAAATCTAATATGCCTTTAAAGCTTTATAACAGTACATCATACTTAACAGTTTACAATTTTAAGATCCTCTAGAATCAATTATCTACGTATTGTATCCTTTCCCAGAATTTATGACTAATCAGAATATCCTGTCCCCCAACTAAACTAGTTAATTGTGTTCACAGTAGAAGTAATGCCTAGGTTTTGCATACCACTGCTCTTTTATGAGTATGGAGAAGAGTTAGCAGTACCACTTTTATTTTTAAAAGAGATAAGTGAAAACAAGATGTTAACAGTGATTATCTGTGACAGTGGGATCATGTGTGACTTGTTTCTTTTTATGTTCCTTTCGGTTTTTCCCCCAAATTCCCTATGTACATTAGTTTTTAAAATCATAAAAGTTTTTTTAAGTTTATTATATTTAGAAAGTCACTACTCTTTATGCTACTGTGGTTTATAGTGGGACATTATAACAAATGGCATAGCTATGGGACAAGTATTAACGGTTATTTTCTTTTTTAAAAACAGATTTTTCGGAAAGTTCCAGGGTTTTTACATGCACTTATGGATGCTCTGAGAAAAGACAAAATAGTCTTCCCTAGTGATGAAAAGTAAGCTAATGATAAAAGATGTGCATTATTACTGTAGCTGCAGGAATCAATGGGTAACTATCATGTGACTTACTGGATGGTGAGGTGAGGAGTTAGAATATCATTTTTATTCTTCTTAGACTACTGTTTTATAGTTCTTGGATGGGGACTAGAATTTGGCAGGAAGGTATCTATGAATTATTAGCATTTGCTATTTTCCTCATGTCGAATTCAATGACTTCATCATTAGTACTCTCTCTGAATTCATAAAGGGAGTTATATCTTTATAGCCTATCAAGACCTTTGGAAGGCCCTTAAGGGCAGCTGTCTCCAACCTTCTTGGCATCAGGGAATGGTTTTGTGGAAGACAGTTTTTCCCATGGATAGAGCTGGGGGAGGGGAGCATGTGTCATCAAACCTCACTGCTAATGTTAATCTGTATTTGCAGCTGTTCCCCAGCATTAGATCCTCATAAGAAGCAGGTGACCTAGATTTCTTGCATGTGTTCACGCTCCTATGAAAATCTAATGCCACTGCTGATCTGACAGAAGATGGAGCTCAGGCAGTAATGCGAGTGATGGGCTAGTGGCTGTAAATACAGATGACTGTTGGCTTGCTCACCACTCACCTCCTGTTGTGCAGCCCGGTTCTTAACAGGCCACAGACCCATATTGGTCCATGGCCTGTTGGGGAGCCCTGTCCCAGGGTCTAATTTAACATTTCTTGGGGGATCTCTGACATCTAGGCCTTACTCCCCATGTAACAGAAGTCCACCTTACTGACCTGACAGCAAATCCAAAGACTACAATTTGGCAAGTGAGCCTCTTACAGTTGGAGAGTTTAAGAATGCTTACAAATGTGAGGTTGTCAATATAGCTTTCTATTTCAATATACTTAAGGAAATCTAATATTCTTGGGACTAACAGTGAGTCACTGTGGCAGGGATGAATGGATGGATGTTGGATTTTTGGCAGGGACAGGGAAATACTTTCTGAAAAAGCCATTGGGGTAGGAGAGAAGTCATTTTTCATGCCATAGCCCTTTGAATTACCAAACTAGGATGTTGACCAGGAAGCTAACCAAACTTGTTAATTGCATGTCCATCCTCTACATTTATGGGAAAAAGTAAATAAATTGCTATTAAAGAGATCTCTTTGATTTTGTGGTAGTTTTTGTTGTTTTCGGGGTTTGAGTTTTCTTCCGTGACCTTTTAATTATTTCAGGTATTAAAAAATAAGGTAGAATGAAGAAGAATATGAGGTTGTTCTAATACTGTGCAGATTCAGTCAGTAGTTTGGAGTTTTTCTTCTTTAGTATTTCCAATAATCACATAGAAGTAAATTAAATTAAACACCCACTTAAGTTGTATGAATAAACAGAAGAGAGGGAAACTTGACTGCAGATAAAAAAAGTTACTATATAAAGTATTTAAATATATGAAGTTGTGATTCCTTGGAAGGAAGGAAAGAGATTTCTTGTATTTTGGGAAAACTTCATGTTTTGCTAAAGCTTTAACTTAGAAGAGGGGAAATCTCAATATGTAATTCTTGAACTGAATGCTTTTTTTCTACTTGTCCCTAGTGTTAAATTCCTGTCTTCTCCCCTTCTCATCTTACATGGTGAGGATGATACGACAGTGCCTCTGGAGTGTGGAAAAAAGGTAAGCTAAGGACTCAGTGCTGACCAAAACATACTACAGTTATTTTACCATTTTTTTCATTCAGCTGCACTTTGAGTAGAGCCTAAAGGAGAGTCTCTGATATTGTAGGAGATTCTCTACACCTCTAAATAGTCTGCTGTTGGCTTATACAATGAGCATCAGAGTCCTTGCTACTTGGCTCGAGGAGTGTTTGTGGTGGAGTCTGGTCCCTCATCCAGGGTGTGTGGTTCTGCAAGTGTAGAAGATCCAGGTTGCTGTGGGAGCCTTTGGTTCATCTCTACTGTAGTGCTCCAAAACTGGGGATGCAGGTTTTTTCTTTTAAATCAACCACTAGTTCATAGCCATTTCTTGTCCCTTTGCAGCAAGGTGTGGACAGGGAAGGCTGAGGGTTTATCAGTGGTCTATATTAGCTGTGCAGCATTCAGTACCTTAGCTGTAGAAACAGCTGATTGAGGGTGTGGGGAGTTCCCATGTCTCTGACTCAATGGGACAAACTCCCCAAGCTGGCTGTTTCTGCACCCTTTTAGGAAAATTGGTCTAGAAAACCCACAGCTTTGACTTGTCAGTCTTTGAATCTTTTTGTCCCTTGCAGCTCTATGAAATTGCTCACAGTGCATACAGGAACAAAGAGAGGGTCAAGATGGTTATCTTTCCTCCTGGCTTCCAACACAACCTCCTTTGTAAAAACCCCACACTATTAATAACCGTGAGGTAAGAGTTGCTTTGCTGAATGTATCTTACCCTCGAAGGCAATCAGGGCTGTTTTGGCTTACTTAGGCCAAAAGGTAGGGGAAGTGTGTGAGCTAATCTGGGTCCTTTTTCTGCAGAGATTTCCTGAGCAAGCAGTGGGCATGAGGTCTGAGAGCAGTGGAAATCTTCAATGAAGACTTGGTCCAGGCACCACCTGTGATGTGCGGTATTAATGTAAAACTGTACTGGGCTGGCTGAATGACCTGAAGATGTTGACATTTTTACGAGTCACTTGCCATTCTAAGAAGTGAAAGCATGAATGTCAGGGCAGTATGGAATGCCCCTAGTTAGATAATCACAGTTGACTTTATGAAACATGCTGAGATCTCACTATGGAGAATCAGAATTTGGCAAGACTTGAATCCCATCTAAAAATGTATGGTTATCAAAACATACCAGGGATATCAGTGAATAAGCGGGCGGCTATAGTCTGAATGTCTGATTCCATCCTCCACATTCATATTTTGAAACCTAATCATCAGTATGCTGGTATTAGGAGGTAGGCTGAGCTATGATGGATGGGATTAGCGCCCTTATAAAATAGGCCCAAAGGGGCTCTTCACCCCTTCCACCATTTGAGAACACAGTGAGAAGGTGCCATCTAAGAACCAGAACGTGGCCTTTACCAGGCACTGAATCTGCCAGTGGCTTGCTCTTGGACTTCCCAGAACTATAAGAAATAAATTTATGTTGTTTATAAGCTGCCCTGTTTATGATATTTTGTTTGAGCAGCCTGAATGGACTAAGACATAGGTCTTTGGTTTGGACTTAGCAGGGTAAGGAAGTTGCTCCAATGTAGTTAAATAATTGGTATTTTAGTTCACTTAAAGGGCGTTAAAAGATTCTAAGCAGTTTTCTAGCTTTGTTATTAGTTTAAGAGTAAGTCTTAGGAGTAGCAGTAGCATCAGTAGATCTGATATAAAATAAGTTTTGGCATTCTCATAGCCTTTGGAAATTGACGCTTTATTTTTGGTCATAATATGGTTATATGCTTTCCCTCCCCAATCCCAGGGATATTTAACTAGATTATTAGGTAACAAAAAGAAAATCAATGAATGTTGTAAAAATGTTCAAGTTCAATAGGAAGCTATGTTTTCTAGAGACACTTCACAATTCAATTTCCATCGACTTTGTTCACTCCATTGCTAGATTCATTGGATAGGGAAATCTTTAGATCCGAAGGCTCCATGTTCCAGATGTCCCGGGCATATTCCTTGATTGTTCGGTCACTGGAGAATTTCCCTGAGGCAGCTATGTTTTTGAGTACCATCATGTTCCAGGCCTTGGGATTCTGCAAACAACATATGCATATATGGCCCAGGCCCTGAGCGCCCAGTGAGCTGTATGACAAACATCAGGCAAAGCACATGCAAGCACATTTCATGGGGAAAATGACAGGAATAAACTTTAGTGAATTATAAATACACTTGTTTCTCCATTGAGAGCTAGGTAGGACAGACAGTACTTTTCTTATATTTAGAGTATATTTCTTTCAGGAATTAAAAAAAAAAAGTATCTTTCCGTCTTAGAGAAACCATGGATGTAAATTCCCTAGTTGGTAATTCATGCTATGGTTACAATGTATCTTCATTCATGTGGCATGTAAGCCATATTTCTGGTGCTTTCTAATGAATGAAGATACTTCCCTTTAAGCTACAGGGAAGGAAAAGACTAACATTCGTTGTCTACCGGATGCCATGTCAAGAAACAACTTGCGGCTCACAGAATTAGAAAAACATGACACTAGGATGTTAGCTATAATGCAGGCAAACAGTCCAGTGAGAGGCTTTGCTGACCTTCTTAGCTCTTGTTCTTTCTGAAAGTACACACCCCACTAGGTTTACACTGAGTCCTGAGTACTCCACTGGGTTTCAAACCAGGGTCAATTAAAGCTTTATCCTTAATAAAACACACACACACACACACACACACAAATCTCATAATTTTTACATAAAATAATATGACAACTATTGATTTTACAGTCTCATGATTTTGTAAATGATTCTAAAAGTTTATTGGAACCGACAAGAATGGTATCCAAAGCTGTGAGCCATGCATTATAAACATTTAAAAGGAAGACTAAAACTGACATCATCCCTTAAGGTACTGTAAAGCAGTATCTGAAATTAGTTTATTCAGACTTTGGAAATTTACCATAATAAGAGGAGAATAAAGGTTTCCTCTCTTCACTTTCTTTATTTCAACGGATAATGAATAGCCTTCCCAGCCATGTGGGTCGTGTTTATTAAGTCTCAACAATACAATTATTGTTAAGAATAAAAAAACTGCAACTTGTCCTAATGAACAAGAAAGACTGAACCGAATACTGGGCTTCTGGATGGGCGTCTTTGGATTTGGGCCATGATTTTAACAGAAGAGACCCATTGTGTAAATTTGACATTCACATTTGTCCTTGCCTTTGTTCATATTCTCCTTTCCTGTTCCATTTTATTTGTTTGTTTTTTTTTAAGTTTTAAAAGAGAGAAGAAGGAAGAAGAAATATTCCCCAAATTTCACCTGCATGCAGCCTACTTATGTAGTTAATTCTCACTTGTAACCTAAAACTCAATTTAAAAAAAAAAAAAGAAAGATTCATGGCAGAAAGACCTGCCATGGGCAAGTTTTTCAAAGAAGAAAAACTGTTACTTGGATTTCTTGAGGTAGCCATCTACCAGAATACAAGGGCTGTGAGGCAGCCCAGGCCTTGAATGATCCTATTTTAAAACCCCAGTTAGACATGTAGGCTGAGTATAGGAACTACCCTGTTAACTTCCTTGGGAAACGAATAGAAAGAAATGTTGGTGAAGCCCACCCTGGAGTCTTGGCGGAGAGCTAGCCTCCTCCTGTATCTATTCCTCTGGAGTATCTGCAATTCACCAGAAGTCTCTCCTACCAGAGATAATCAATCCATGTATTTATAGAACACACCTCAAGAGCTATTTGATAAAGATGTATAACTTTGCATGTAAAGGCTTATTCACATGGCTCTGGCTTTTTATTTTTCTCAGTATAGTATCTTCTTCCTTATTCTTTTTTTTAAAAAAAGTTTAAATTGTACCCTCTTCTCTTCCTGCATATTTATATTCTATGCATATAGTCCCACTCCATGAATAGTCCAGCAGAGGTTATTTCACAATTTTCAAAGAATGGGGGGGTCAGTCCTTATCCCAGTAAATCTTAGTTTTGCCTTAGAATCAGCATAGTAGGTTTTTCTTTTTTTTTCTTTTTTCTTTTTTGAGTTGGAGTCTCACTCGGTCGCCCAGACTGGAGTACAGTGGCCGCTCCTGGCCACCGCAGCCTCGCCTGCTGGGCTCCAGTGATCCTTCCACCTCAGCCTTCCGAGTAGCCGTAATGACAGGCATGCGCTACCACACCTGGCTGATTTTTTTTTTGATTTATTGTAGAGATGAGGTCTCGCTGCCCAGGCAGGTCTCGAACCCGCGGGCTCAGGCAATCCACTCACCTCAGCCTCCCAAAGACGCGGGAATACAGGCTGAGCCACCGAGCCCGGCTCATAGCAGGTTTTTCAAATACTGATGATGATTCTACCTACTACTGGGTAAGAATCTTGCAGTGTGGGGCTGGCATCTGTACTCTGAAAAAGCTGCCTTGGTGATTCTGATGTAAATCTCTGGTTAAGAACCTTGACATTAAACAGGCTCTTGGAGGGAAGAGAGGAAAGGAGAGGCCTTGACTTTGTTCCTGCTGTGTTCTCAGTGCCTAGCCCAGTGCCTGGCATAAAGAAGACTCCCCAGTGCCTCTCTGAGGCTTTATATCCTAGCTTCCATGCCTGCTCCATGGTAGGTGCTCAATTATATTGGATTATTTGTGCTTCTTTTAAGTTGGATATTAAAATATTCACAACTACTCCTGAAATATCAGGCCTCAATCTTGGCCTGAACTTGGGAAAGGTCAAGTTTTGATCTGAATAACTTGGACAGTTGCCTTACTTTTTAATTATTTTTGATTGTTTAATAGGGCACTGCCATTTATATTTTATTTTAAAAACTCAAAATTCTTAATTAATCATAGTAAACTGGTTTCCTTGATAAATCTCAGCAATTTACTCACCATGTACAGCTGACTGACTTTTTCTTGACACTTGATATAGGCTTCATAATCTGCAAAGACTTTAAATCTTTTTGTGTATGTGATTAGAAGGAAAAAAAAGCAAAACAATAAAAAAGCTTAATTAATAAATGCAGACTAAGATTCCATTTAAAATTTTCTTTTGCTTAGTATCAGGCACGGCTAGTTCACCAAACTATATTTCTGTTCACAAGGATTTTAACCAACCCTCAACCCTTTTCTAGTTCTTCCCACATGGAAGAATGTCATCATTTGAAAGCTGGGTGTATCAGTGGAAGGAAAAAAAGAATACCAATTTGTGGGTATTATTCTTAAACCATACTGGCATCATTGATAGAGAGTATCCAGCTTTTTTTTTTCTTCCAAGTCTAGGTTACCTGATGAGATCACAGATCTGTGCTCATCTACATGAGTGGGTTGGAGTTGGTTTTTAAGGGGTTCTTGTTGCTCCTTCACAGTTCAAATAGCATTGTCTTCTTGTGGGAACTCACCTGTCATGGTAAAAGAGCATGTTGATGACGTCTTTGAAGAGGTCAGGCTGCTTGGGAGAAAAAAAGCCATTGTCAATTTGATCAATGACCAGCTTCAGTTCTGGAAGTGCCTCGTAATAGTCTTTTGCCTCGTACCTGTGGGGTGGGGGGTGGTGGGAGGTTGATGAGAAAAAGGCTGTGTTAGTGTGCTTATTAACAACACACTGGACACTGCATTCGCTAAGGAAAGTGCAGAAAGAATAGCATGTATATAAATCGTTATAGATGTCACCATGGATATAAATAACTTTTGACTAAATTCTGAAATCCCCCCAACCCTAAATTTGATTCCATGCAACTGAACACACAAAGAACAGCAGATAATGCAAGTTCTGGTCGAAGAAAAATAATCCAAAGCTGACTTTATGGTTCTAAACAAGCATTGTGTTAGGTTAACCATTTGCTTTTTGGCCCCACAGATTCCCAAAGCCTGTTGCTTCTGAATGAAACTGACTTCCAAGGATCAGGAGATATACAAAACATCCTTCAATTTTTGTGATCCCTGTAGCTCCTTTGGGCACTGCTTTTTCCTTGCTTCTTTCTTGAAATCAGGTGAATAGGTATTAAGTGAAAATAAGTGCTCCTGTGTGTTTCTGTACATTTTTTTTTAGTCCATCTCTTTGAGGTGTTGAAGGAGCACTAGGTCATGGCCTAAATTATAGACAAAAACTTTCGACTGGAAACTAGCTCATCTTTTGATCACAGTAAAAATCACAGATTCGGAGACTTGAATAGCTCATTGAGGTCAGCTCTGCAGTGGCAGATAACAGATCACAACTCCTGTGTGTGCCCGTCCTTTTGCTAGATTTAGTAATGCTCATCTGTGGCCAGAAGGCTCCCCTGACTCCCCTTGGGAGCTGCTCAGCTGCCCCCCTCATGTGATCCACCCTCAGTGGGACGCCTGTGCGGGTAGGAGGCCCTCTGAGATCACGCACCCTCCTGGGGTGACCCTACCTAACAAAGAGACAGCTCACCCTGTCTCGTCCAGAGCGGCCACCTCATCTACCCTCATGCCAAAGATGAACAGATTCTCTTCCCCGGCTTCCTCTGCCATTTCCACGTTGGCCCCATCCATGGTCCCGATGGTCAGGGCCCCGTTGAGCATGAACTTCATATTGCCTGTCCCTGAGGCTTCGGTGCCTGCAGTGGAGATCTGCTCTGACAGATCTGTGGCTGGAATGACTGAAAGAAAGGCAAGTTAGGATGAGTAATTCTGTCTCTCTGGATCTGCTTGCATTACATTTGAGCATTTATTTAGTTGGGCTTTTCTGATCTTTTTTTGGTTTTTGAGTTGGAGTCCCACTCTTGCCCAGGCTGGAGGGCAGTGGCATGCTCACGGCCACCACAGCCTTCACCTGTTGGGCTCAGGTGATCCTTCTGCCTCGGTCTTCCAAGTAGCTGGAACCACAGGCATGTGCCACCATGCCTGGCTTATTTATTTATTGTAGAGATGAGGTCTTGCCATGTTGCTCAGGCTGGTCTCAAACCCCTGGGCTCAGGCTCTTGCCTCTGCCTCCCAAATTGCTGGGATTACAGGTGTGAACCACCACACCCGGCTGTTTTGATCATTAAAGTAACACATGAACATCATGATATACATCCACATGGTCTAGAAGGCAGATCTTACTCTTTCCTCTTGACTGGCTATCACTTTTGTCCATGTTTGAAGTGCTTTATAAGTATATGCTTATACTTCTCTATCTTGATCTATAAACTTTAAAGAATGTCTATTGACTCTGTGCTATAAACATTGACACTACATTTTTCATCCCATTTCTTCTTTCCAGTTTTTGTTATGGTTTTATTTTTATTTCTCCTACTTCATAGAGTATGTTGAAACATCTCTTTCTTGACCTATAAGCTTCAGTGTCTCTCCTGATTCCTCTTTTGCAACCTGGGGAGACTGGGTTGCCTGCTTCCTTCCACTTCTCACCTCCCTCTTTCCATTTCCACTGCAGGGAAATTAAATTAGCCACAAGCAACTAATACCAAGCCTCGAATCTTTTAGGCTGATTTGCACACAAAGTAGAGATGCCTGAAGCTCCTCCTTTGACTACGAAGGCCAGAACCACTACTCTGCTTTACTCTCAGAGCTTATTTGTGGATTAGATTTATCTTCATTTCTATCCCTATGAAACTGACTCTTCTGACTCTTTTCTCTTTATGCAGACAGTTCTTTAAACAGTGACATCAGGAAAATTTAAAAATCACAGAAAAAGAAAGTTCTCTTTCTGTTTCAGTTTGGGAAGTGGGTAAATACACACTTGGGCATCTGCACTTGGACGGTGCTTTGGGAGCATGTGACTCAAATAAGCCAAGGTCCCAGTGGTAGAAAAAGGGCCACTGGCTTCTTGCCCATCTGGCTGTCCCCATGTGGGAACTTCATGCTTGATCCCCGAGTGCCTGCCCATGGGAGGCACATCTAAGCCTCGTGCTTTGGCAGCCTGACGTCTGCCCTCATTTCTTGTTTCTACGTGAACAAATGGCAACCTTTCCTCCTATGCAGTGACCAGAGGAATATCTGGGGACTGGGACATTGGTGCTCTCTTGCAGAACTGGGGCTGGGAAGTGAGGACCTTTCCCTCTCTTTTGTAGAGCAGGGTCTGCACCGAACATCAGGGCTGCCTCCTCCAGCCAAAACCTCATGGCTGCCTCCTCCAGCACCCAGTCCACACTGGCTGGGAAGACAATGCACTTGCAAATGTAATCCTGTGATTACATTCATCTCACTGTCATTTGGGTCACTTTAAAAGCTCTTGCCTTAGGTCCTTATTCTGCCTAAGAGTGGCACCTTCACTAACTCCTGGAAGTTGGCCACCCCATTTTCTCTGCCATGTAATCTCTAGAATTTGCCCTGTCCCTCCATGTTTGTTTGTTTGTTTTTTTTTTTGAAAGCACAGCCTGTAATCCCACCCTTTGGGAGGCTGAGGTGAGTGGATTGCCTGAGCCTGTGGGTTTGAGACCCACCTGGGCAACTTGGCAAGACCTCATCACTACAATAAAATAAAAAAATTAGCCGGGCTTGGTAGCGCGTGCCTGTAGTTCCAGCCACTTGGAAGGCTGAGGGGGAAGGATCACAGGAGCCCAGCACGTCACAGGAGCCCAGCACGCCGGGAGCGGCCACTGTACTCCAGTCTGGGTGACAGTATGAGACTCCAACTCAAAAAAAAAGAAAGTATAATTTATTGAGAGGACAGAAAAGCTCCCAGAGTAAGAGGGGACCCGAGGGGGTTGACCCCTCTATGTTTTTTTCAATGAGGGCAGTACCTTTTTCAGCAAGAGATACTCTGTAGTTCTCCAAGAAGATGACTTTCAACTTGCTTCCAACCACGGGGTCATTGTTCACTATATCTGCCACTGAGGTGATCAGCTTTATGATCATTTTGGCCATGTGATATCCTGGGGCAGCCTTGGGGGAGAATGTCAGACACCATGACAGAAGGCAGGCATGATGAAGTGGAGCAAGGGTGAGATGTTAGAGCCCCCAAGTCCCCAGTGAATAGAACTTACTTTACCACCAATGATAACTGTCCTTGGCACGAATAACTTCTTAGGGTCTTTCTTAATGCCTGAAAAAGATGGAGATGTGAATGGCACAGAAGACAGCTGATGGCCAGGGTGGTGAGACCTATGCTGACATTGCTGATTCTGCCTCCCAGGGGCTTGCTGGCGGCGGAAGGACTGACTCACGGTTGTACATGGTGATCACATGCAGGCAGTTCAAGAGCTGCCGCTTGTACTCATGGATTCTCTTCACCTGGACGTCAAACATGGAGGATGGGTTGATCTTCACTTTGTACTCCTTCTCCAGGAACTGAGAAAACTTCAGCTTATTCTCCTGTTGAGACAGTGCATGGAGCCAGAGCCCTTTTGACTTAGAAGCACCAGGTCTGTTTTTCAACACCAGAGGATAAGCCTTCAAACCAGGTGCCGGGGAAGGGGTCTGCCTCTGGATGCCTCACCTGCTTCACGTTGGCTATTTCCCGGAGGAAGACATCATCACCCAGGAAGCTGTGGAGCTTCGTCAGCTGGCTCAAGTCCTTCACGTAATCTTCCCCAATTTTCTTTCAATTTAAAGGAGACAGTGACTTTAATTTGGGGATGGTACTCACGTCCAAATGAGCAGTTTATGTCAGGATGTGGTGAATGGTTCTCCCTCTCCCACCACGGTATAGTTCACAGACCACACAGTATGTAGGATGGTTTCACTCGAAGAAAGGAACATACTTTTTTTTTTTTTTTTTAAGGCAAGGTCTTACTTTTTTTTTTTTTTTTTTGAGTTGGAGTCTCACTCTGTCGCCTAGGCTGAAGGGCAGTGGCACGCTCCCAGCCACTGCAGCCTCAACCTGCTGGGCTCTGGCGATCCTTCCGCCTCAGCCTTCCAAGTAGCCAGAACTATAGACACATGCTACCATGCCCAGCTAATTTTTTTTTTATTTTATGTAGAGATGAGGTCTCACCAAGTTGCCCAGGTGGGTCTCAAACCTGTGGGCTCAGGCAAGTCACTCACCTCAGCCTCCCAAAGGGCTGGGATTACAGGCTGAGCCACCAAGCCCGGCTTGTTATTTTGTTTTTTAGCGATGAGATCTCTCTATGTTGCCCAGGCTGGTCTTGAGCTCCTGACCTCAAGCAACCTTCCTGCCTCCGTCTCCCAAAGTGCTGGGATTACAGTCATGAGACACTGCACCTGGCCGAGAACATACGTTCTATGTGGAAAGAATATGTTGCTATTGTCTTAAATGTAGTTTCAATGATATCAAAGTGTTAAAAACAGGAAATCTACTTAAAAGAGTGACCAAGAGCCCATGTTTTATTAGTCACTTACATGAGCTTTGTTGTCCTCTTTTACTAAATATAGACACCATCCTCTATCTGGGTATCATATGAACACTGTTAGCTGCAACCAGCAACATACCTTGTGGGATTCCTTGTTCAAAAATTAAGAATTTCAAGGTGACTACAGCAGAGGATGAACCCTGGCATGGAGCCCTGTGGACTGCACACACACCACACTGAGGAAACTGGCTCTGCTGCTGATTGGATTTTCAAATGATAAGTGCACTCCTGTGCCTCTCACATCCTAGTGCACTCCTGTGCCTCTCACATCCCTTCCTCCCAGCACTTCCCAGTTACCTCTGCAATGAGCTCAGCAAGCCCTGGGTTGCAGAGTAAGAGCCAGCGTCTTGGGGTGATTCCATTGGTTTTATTCTGAAACTTGTCAGGTTCTAGCTCACTGAAGTCCTTGAATCTGGAGACAGAAGAGGCACATCACTGAATTTGACCAAAATGGCAGAATTCTGTACACTGGATAAAGTTTGGAGTTATCTTCAGGAAGCTAAGTATAGGCTTAGAAATATGAAATAAAGGTGGAGGGAGGGACTGATGGCAGCTGTGACTATCATCCTAAATAGAGATTCATTTGCAATTCAAGATAATTACAAGAAAAATTCCAATTCTAATCACCTCCATCTGACTTCTTGGCACTGACATATATACCAGACTTTTCAGCAGTATAGTTTTTTTTCCCCCTGGCTTCTATATCTAGAATCAGGACAGTTCAGAGAGAGAGAGGCATTTTTTTTCCCTTTTTTTTTTTTTGAGTTGGAGTACCACTCTGTCGCCCAGACTTGAGTGCAGTGGCCGCTCCTGGCCACCACAGCCTCGACCTGCTGGGCTCCGGCGATCCTTCCACCTCAGCCTTCCAAGTAGCTTGAACTACAGGCACGTGCTACCACGCCCGGCTAATTTTTTTGATTTATTGTAGAGATGAGGTCTTGCCAAGTTGCCCAGGCAGGTCTCGAACCCGCAGGGTCAGGCAATCCACTCACCTCAGCCTCCCAAATGCGTGTGATTACAGGCTGAGCCACTGAACCCAGATTCTTTTCCCTTTTTAAGAGAAGTTTTTGTCCGGAAGAAAATACTTCTAAACATTTAAACAAGGCCTTTCTCCATCCCCACATGCAAGCCAGCATTTACTTGCATCATTCTGTTAATGGCTCAGTGTCAGACCCACTGCCAGAGTAAGAGAGACTTACACTGCTGTCTTGATGATGTCTGAGTGGATTTTAGCCACACCATTCACAGCATGGGAGCCCACAATGCAGAGATGGGCCATGTTGATCCTTTTGCCTCCTTCCTCTTCTATCAGAGACATCCTTCTCAGGCGGTCAACGTCTTTAGGGAACAAGGCCACGATTCTCTAGCCAAAGGAAGAGAAAGGCTTTACTGGTCACCCAGGTTTCAAAGCCATACCGAGATAACATCGTTCACTTCCCAAGCAAAATCTCTAGCAGAGTGAATATAAAACTTCACTCCTGCAGAGAGAGGCCATCCCTCCATTTCAGCCCCTTTAAAAAGCTGTCTTTCCCAGAGCCCCCCTCAGACTGGAGTACTTTTGAGGTCTCCATGGTCAGAAGATGTTGGACCTCAAGTTGGTAAGGGGGAATCACTGTAGCCACCCTGAGCACCTTAAGACCTTATTCTCATAAGGGGTCAGAGTCTCTCTGAATGACTTACATCCAAATGCTTCTGATTTATCTCATAAATGATTTGCAGATGGCGAGGAAGCAGCTTCTCTACCAGGTCCACAGGCCAGCGCTCCAGGGCTTCTGGGAGCACCGTGTGGTTGGTATAGGCAAAGGTCTTCTGGGTGATCTCCCAGGCCTGGGGGGAAGGGAGGAGTCAGCTGCTTTCCTGCAGTGTATACCTCACCACACGGGGCAAACATCTTCTCAACTCTGGCCTGTGTGCAGCAGGACAATTCTAAGTGTATACAGTCAGATGCATTCTATTCCACTAGGTTCTTGAATGGTCCAGATAACAGAAATACTAGAGGTGCCAAAAAAATGTATACACATTTTAAGAGAGGTATTCTAAGTATGACCTTTCAGAGTACTTTTCAGAAGCGCCTGGATGTTGATGGTAACCACTTTGAGCACCTCTTGTAATTGCAGAAGACAAATGTGACTTGTATTCATCTTTTGTTATTGGTATATGTTTTTCCTTTCTTAAAATGTATATACATTTTTATTCGGCACCCTCTGTACGTTTTGGGATGGGGGAAAGCTATTTCTAAAACTGGTAAAACTTAAGACAGCATTCGGATAACTCTTCTCTGCTACCTTTACATGCCTTTTATTTATTAAATACAGACAGGTTGGTGAATGAAAACTTAACTTATACTCTCACCAGTTACAACATGTTTAAAATGCTGACTTCCAAAGCTACAGGGATGTTTTCAATGTGCTGTTTTCTGAGGTTAGATAATTTAATTTCAAATCATACTAGACATAAAAGTGGTAAACACGATACAGGCTACAGCTACTGATATGTGTCCCATTAGGAATATATTCATTGATTTTATAATTCTCCTTCCTGTAAAACACTAAGGATGGAGAATGTTGGTATCAGGGCAAAATATATCTTTAACTGTTAAGAGTCTGCAACAGTAACTTGTGGAGAAATATAAGGTCCAAATAGGCCAACAACAACTGGGTAGGTTATACTGAGAAAAGAGACCACAGGGAGAGATTTACAGATGTTACAAGAAACTTACTGACCACAATAAAAGTCATAAAAGCTTGCTCACCACTTAAAACATTGTTGTAAACTAACCACTGTAAATGTTGTAAACACAAAGTTAGCCATTGTTGTACACTAACCCTATCTTAAGGAGATCACCACAATCAGTCGTCTTACAGACCCCTTGTGCAACATGTAACTGACTTCTCTCTGCAGACCCCTCATACAACATGGAGCTAACTTCCTTCTACAAACCCTTCACACGACATACAGACAAATTCCCTCTCCAGACTCCTCACATGGCATGTAAACTCCCTCCACACAAACGTATAAAACGTCCTTCTAGTCTCTGCTTCTTCACAGAAAACAGTCTCACCTTGCTACACTGTCCATTGCTCCCTTGCAATGTATCTTACCTTTAATACATCTCTTTCTTAATTCACAACCATCTTGAAATATTCCTTTACCCTCCCTCTCTCCCACCCCCACTGTGATCTGGCCTCAGATGGTTGTGCATACAACATCACTTACTTTCAGAAACTAAAAAAAGTTTTTTGAAAGTCTTTCAATCTCAGGTTTTCTGCTTAATTAAAGGGGGAAAAAAAGCCAACTATCCAGACCTTGGACCAGGGCAATTTTTCAATATCCACAAAAATTCTCATCAGCTCAGGGATGGCGAGTGCAGGGTGAGTGTCGTTCAGCTGGATGGCCACCTGGGTGGGGAAAGACATCAAGGTGAAGGTGACTGATGGCCCAGGGTCTCCCTCTGGCGAAAGCACCAAACAACATGCCCGCCATCCAGGAAACGCTTGAAGCATGCCATTCCTACCCAGCGTGTTAGCACTGAGAGAGAAGAACGGATCTAACAGGCAATCCTGATCCCTCGGTGGATTCCACCTGCATCCACAAACTAAATACTTGCCTGATCTGGAAAGGCATCGAACACAGTGCCTGCACCGTCGCTGGAACCAAACTTGGAGGCTTTGAAACGTCGGATGATATCTTGCAAGGTTGCGGCCACCACAAAATATTCCTGCTTCAATCTGAGCTCCTTCCCTTCAAAAAACTTCAAGCCAGAGACACTGAATGAAAGTGATGCATGTTGTGGGTGTGGCCAAGACTGGTGTCTTCTGACCTAGGAACTTTAGGGCTAAAGCCCCTTGAATATTTGGTGAGAGATGACAGTATGAAAGCCAAAGCACAACCATTTGCTCTTTCCTGAAACCACATTAAAATGGCAGCAAAGGGTGTCTAGAAAGGTGAACAGATAAAGGAGAGTGGCAATAGCAACAACTTTCTAGAAGTTGAGAAACAGATGGATGAGTGCTAATTGAGCCAGACGACCCAAGAAAGCCAAATCCTGACCTGGTAGTGAAGAACCAAAAAGCAAGTTTTTTGCAAAGTCTTTCAACCTCCATTTATACATTGGAACCCTGAAGACCTAAGAATTGATAGTACCAAGTGCCTCTGAAGTAAGGGTGAAGATGAGAGAAAAGGTGTGCTGAGAGATTTTCTGAGGAGCGCTTGTCCTGTGACCTTACCCCCGATTCCCACAGCTAAGCAATTTCCTTTCCCAACTCAGGCAGAAGCTGGAGGTTTATCTTCTGGAGGTGGTAAAATGGGGGTCTCCAGGCTGCAGGGGCATCAGGTACAGTTGAACCCAGGAGTACCATCCCATGTTGAAGATGCGGGGGTTGAGGTTAAGTGAAAGTTTATGTGCTGAGTATTGAGATTCTTGGCCTTCTTCTCCCAACCAAGCTTTCGAACACAGGCAGCCAATATTCATTCCACCAGGATCAATTTTTTTGAGTTGGGGGTCTCCCTCTGCCACCTAGGGTGAAGTGCAGTGGCACAATCATGGTTCACCATAGCCTTGACCTCCTGGGCTCAGGCTATCCTTTCCCCTCAGCCTCCTGAGTAGCTGGGACTACAGGCGTACGCTACCGCATCTGGCTAATTTTTTTAGTTTTATTTTTTTGTAGAGATGAGGCCTCACTATGTATATCTCACTAGGCTGGTCTTGACCTCCTGGGCTCAAGCAATCCTCTTGCCTCAGCCTCTTAAAGTGCTGGGATTACAAGCGTGAGCCATGCCACTCTGCCAGAATTAATTAATTATTGATAGTAATCCAAGCTGAACTACACTGTCCTTATCAGAAGCACTGAAAACAAGAAGACAATCTGAGTATTAAAAATCTGAGTGTCTGTATCCATGCAAACAAACAACGTGAGGGCAGAATAAAGGTGTTTTCTGATACCACAGGGTCTCAAAAAATTGACCTCGCACATGCCCTTTCCCAAGAGGCCCTGAGAACATGTATACTACCAAGATAGGGAAAGACATGGAATCCCCCCCACCAAAAAAAGACCCTAGACAGTAAATGAGCACAGGGGGTTCTCAGAACCACAGAAAGAAGATTCTAAGATGACTGGAGCAGGACATCCAAAGAGCAACCAATCCAGGCACGATCCAGAATGACTCAAAAGACTGAGTTCAGGGGTCACAGACACCTGAGGAACCCGACTGGTACCAAGTCCCCAACCACCCCCCTCCTGCAGTCACATTCCTGGCAGGCATACATCAGGAAACACCGGCAGCTGCAGACTGTGTGGAGAACTGGGACTGACCAGGCATGTCCTACCTGACTGTGGGACGGGTGGACACTCACCATGCCTTATTGAGCTAGGAGTGTTTAAGGTGCTAGAAATAAAATGACTCTTTAAACACCATCCTTGACCTCAAGAAGTTCAGATTAGTAGGGAGAAGGAGGGGTGTCAACGAAGCTTTAAATACAATGCGATGATTGTTTAAAAACTTTAAGTTAAGGTATAGACATGTGACTTTGGGAACTTGGGTGATCAAGTATTTCTTTATCTGAGTCCCGAAAGGTGAGTAGAAATCTGTCTGATGAACACAGAGGAACAGAGTATTCCCTGTGGGCAAAGGAAGTCTTGCAAGGCATGGAGATGGGAAGGAACAGGTAAATAGTCTCACACCAATGGGCCTCATTGTTGGGTTAAAATTACGGAAGATCAGTCATTAATATGATACACAAGTAAAGTGACAAATGTGAAACTGTACCCACTAGAAAAAAAAAAGTAAATTAGGATGAGTTTTGTGTAGAGGTTATTCAATGATCTGATTTCAAAAACTATGAAGGAACAGGCTACCAGTGAAGAACTTAGGTAACATACCTAAGATTCTGTCCTTTTTGTAAACGATCCAAAGTCTTTCAAGAATTTTACTCAGGGAGCCAATATCTCACGAGCTGCAGTGTGAGGAAGGGAGCATCTTGCTTGGAAGCAAGGAATCTTCTTGGAAGAGACACTAATGTCTGGACTAGGGCTATGGCACGTTGAGAAAAGTGAATGAATTTGTTCTTGTAATGATAGTACAAAAATGATTTACCGACTCACCCTTAAAACAAACAAACAACCTATGATTCCTGAGAACTATCTTTTACCTAATAAATCTAGTCAACTTTTTATTTATGAACTTAGTATTTATTAATAATGTGAACTTAGTATTTATTAATAATTACTGCAGATGATTGTTTCCAAGTAAAGTTAGATTTGATCCTTACTGAAGATAGGAGGATGAATTTCAAGCCTCTTCCGGTGATACAATCCTTGAGACCTGGGTTTGGCTAGGCAGTATGGTTTCAGACTTGGAAGAATTCTTACTTTGACCACGAAATAGAATAATCTTTTGCTTTGGGTTAGAGATGTTTCTGAATGTACTGAAGTCAAAATGTTTTCCCCAAAGAAAAAAAAAAAATCAACATATACCATTAGCATCCTGAAAATGCTTCAGCAAATCCACATAATCCTCTTCCTTTCTGAGGAATTAGGGTTTAGCACCAAGTAGACATCTGGTCTTAAGGGCTATTTATGTCCTAGTCCCCATGATTCTTGTTTTCCGCCATCTTTATAAAGCAGAATACTAATTTGGTTGCTTCTGAGATTACTTAAAAAGGAAATCATTACAGCATCAAGAAAATATTACTCACAGAGAAGTTAGAGTTACATAAATTTATAACAACTAGAATCCATAGCAGTTAACTGAGATCAGTTGCAAATATTTTTTAATTAAAAAAATTTTTTTAGAATAAAATTTTTTCTAGAAAAAATTATTTTTAGAATAAAATTTTTTCTAGAAAAAAATTATTTTTAGAATAAAATTTTTTCTAGAAAAAAATTATTTTTAGAATAAAATTAAGACAATCACCTGTTTAAAAAAAAAGTTGAAAGATATACGTAAGTGGCAGAAGTAGCAAGTGTTTGTTCATGGGTCTGACCAGAGTTCCATATATCCACCTATCCTGGGGGCAGAAGGCCAGAAAGCGAAGAAAGGGAAGAGGCCAGGATGGAAATCCTCAGGGACTTCTGACTTTGCAGATCAAATTTCTGCATGGAAAGAAGTAGTGCTTCACTGGGGATATGGGTTTTGTTTTAAAATATATTTACAGACCCCCCCAATTTGTGGCAGGGTCACTAATCATGAGCAAAATACCAATTCTGATTTCATGAATTGTACAAATATGTTTTCCTGGCTTGACTGGGAGGAAAGTCTAAACAATTCAGGACGGATTATGGAGCTTATTCTGCACATGAAGGAAAAAAACCATATGAATAAGTGCTTTAATGGGTTACCAAATAAGCTCTATGAAAGAAGTTGCTTGTTGCCACTGAGAAACCAGCTTGATCACTCACATTGTCATTGGGATAGAGGACCCTAGAGATGTTCTCAGCCAGGTTTCGGTCCAGCACAGCCTGAATGTAGTCTCCAACGTTAACTGAGGGGAATTTTAAAAGAACAATAAATATACAAGCCAGCCATTGTTGTCGGAAGCCCTTCAGTCTCACTTGATGTGCATTGCATGCCATGTGGAATTCCTGAAAATCCCAATGAATTTGAACAAACCTTCATGCTGAGCTTCACATGAGAGTCTAAGAGGCCAACATGGAAGGACTGCTTTAAAAATGTCCTTCCTATTTGCTCCATCCAATGCCTGCTTAGTCACTGAAGAGTTCAGATCAGAAACTCAAGGCTTTTTCCTCAAGTTCAATTTGGTTCTCATTAGTAATCAGAAAGATTAAGCATGCCCATCAGGAAGGCAGGGCCCACGCTGTACTCACAGTCTCTGAGGTTAAAGTCATTCGGTGCCCGAGCAGACCAAAGGCGCATGGTGTTGACGGTGTTATTCATGTACCCAGGAACTGGGGTGTCATAGGGCAGAGCCAGGACCACCTGTGGGATTCAACAGAAGCAGCTGCTCAAGGTTTCTGAGGTGTGATGCTGCAGTTTGAACACTGGGCTGGGAGACTGCAGTGGAATTCTATTCCCGGATCCATTACTAACTCAAACTGTGTGAGGCCTAAGCCAAGGAGAGGGGGTCCCAGGGCTGCAGAGGGTCATGCAGGTCTCCCCCTTCTGGAACAATCTGGTGGCTGGAACCATTCAGACTGATGCTCCTTTTTAGCATTTCCATGTTGAAGTCCCATGTGCCCCTGGCCTTGATGTAGATGGAATAGAATGGAATGATGTGGTACTAGTGTTACAAAGAGGTGGCTGGGTATGGTGGCTCAAGTCTGTAATCCCAGCACTTTGGGAGGCTGTGACGAGAAGATTGCCTGAGCCTGTGGGTTTGAGACCAACCTGGGCAAATTGGTGAGACCTTGTCTCTACAATAAATAATAAAATTAGCTGGGCATGGTAGCCCATGCCTATGGTTCCTGCTACTTGGAAGGCTGAGGTATAAAGATCACTGGAGCCCAGCAGGTTGATGCTGGGGTGGCCGCGAGTGTGCTGCTGTACTCCAGCCTGGGCAATGGAGTGAGACTCCAACTCAAAAAAAAGAAAAGAAAAGAAAAGAAAGAGGTTATCTTTTCTGTTTTAGATCAAACCATTACTCTAATAATAATAATAAAATATGGTATGCAAACAGTGACAAATGTACCCACCAAAAAAAGAAAAAGTAATTAGAATGAGTTTTGTGTAGAGGTTATTCAATGATCTGATTTCAAAATGATGAAAGTCAGTGGAATAGAAAATTTATGAAGATAGACCATCCCATATGCTATTTAAAATGAGATGCTAGATTTTTAAAAGTTGTATAAGGAGTTATTTTAGGGATTCCTACAGTGATTTGCCAGATCAGCTGATAATTAGCTGAGTTGGTCTAAGAGGTAAACATTGGAAAATCTAGCTCAATCTTTGTGACAGTCGCTGACATAGAGAAGAACAGGAAGATGAACTATGTTTCACAGTACACTGAAAATGTATGTGAGAAGTGACTCATTTTTATTCCTGCCTCATCAGAGTCAAGCTCCAAGGAAGGAGAATGACAGAATAATTGAATCGGGGGATGCCAGATCTCATTTAGCACTACCTACTCATTGTGGAGATGAGGAGGCTGAGGTTGAGAGAGAAGTGACTTACCCAAGGTCATAGTCATGGCAGGGTTGAAACCCAAACACACATCTCTTTAATTTGTTCTGCTGGATTATGAAGGAAGGAGGCATTATAAACCATACTAATCGCACATATTCAGTCATGCTTTCATGATCACTATGACCTTGAAGTAATAAATCACCCCTGTTTAAATATTTCTTTTATGAAATAAAGGTTTCTGGAGATTTTTAAAGCAAGTTGTGATCAATCAGAGAAAGTCACATACAGAGTGGGATTGAGTCTGGGTTCAAATGAGATTTTGACCCTTTCGAAGCATAGTTGAGGCAGCCTGGGAGGTGTACAGCCCCTCGCCCCTTTCTTTTTGGTTTCTTCTAGAGATGGGGTTTTGCCATGTTGCCCAGGCTGGTCTGGAAATCCTGGGCTCAGGTGATTCTCCCACCTCGACCTCCCAAAGTGCTGGAATTATAGGAGTGAGCCATTGTGCCCGGCTTAAATGATAGCTATTCTTTTTTTTTTTAATTTTAATTTTTTGACTTGGCATCTCATTCAGTCATCCAGGCTGAAGTGCAGTGGCATGATCACAGCTTAACACAAGCCTTGAACTCCTCGGCTCAGGCAATCCTTTTGCCTTAGCCTCTCAAGAACTTGAGACTACAGGTGTGCACTGCCACATCCAGCCATGTCTTTTTTATTTTTTGTAGAGACAAGCTCTTGCTATTTTGTCTAGCCTGGTCTCAAACTCCTGTGCTCAAGCAGTCCTCTTACCTCAGCCTTCCAAAGTATTAGGATTACAGGTGTGAGCCAATGTGCCTGGCCGGGCCAGGACTTCTTTAACAGGCAATGTTTAGTCTCAGGCTCCATCAACCTGGGCCACTTGCTAAGAGCCGCACTGCTGTCTGAGGCTCTCCCGAAGTCCTCCCTCCTCCTCCTTCTCCCTTCACAGGTGTACACCTGCGTCTCAGTCTGACGCTTTCCCACCTCCTCCTGTTTCCTCTTCCCTTTCTCTTCCATAGGCATCCCCCAATATATCACTGATACTTTCACTCTCTCTGGTGAAAGTTTCCTGGAAGCCACCCCAGGCATGCACAGAGCATATCTGGCCTCATGCTCTTGGACCTCACTAGCTACCAGTCTGGGACTGATTGAGGTGATGGCTTCAATTCATGAAGCCGCACAGCTTGGGTCGCTTACTTATATTGCCTCTGATTCTGTGGGCATAGAAACGCTCTCCTCTAATTGGATGTCTGGATACATTATGAAACTATCTAGAGGTCCTTTGTGATACAAGTTAGCTCAGCAGTGGGACCCACAGTGTAAAAAGAATGCTTCCAGGGTTGACTGTGGAAACCACCTACTTTTAGACAAATCAGAAGCCACTGATGTAGTTTAAGCACTAAAATCTAATATCAATGACTTTCTAGTTTAATATCAAATGTGTGAATTCTTTAAGTATATTAATGACTAATTTGTTTCCAGCTTTCCTGATGATATTTGTAACCAATTATAACTTAGTTTGTGATCTATCATTTAATTAAAATTAAAAAAAACCAACATCAAAACAAGAACTTATCTTTAAATCACAGTATTAGTTTATTCTTTATATACCTGTATAACTATTTAACTGCCTATTTCAGCTTTTAATCCATCATTTTGTGTATTAAATCAAGTTACACTCAGATTAGGAAACAGTTTTTAGAATGTCTTATTTTTCCGAACTGTAAATAGTTTTACATGGATTAGCAAAAGAAACCAGCAGCTAAAAAAATATAGCATGGGTGATGGCTCCCTTAAGGCAAAATGAAATATTTATTTATGGAGAATAACCCACAAACCAACCAAGTATAGCATTACAGTACTAAATTGTAAAGTTTCAGTTTTCACATGTAAGAACATCATTTATTGGTCTTCACTATTTTTTAAAAAAAGTTTTTAAAGAATGGCCAGTGGTAAATCTTTTCCAGTCTGAGACTATATTTATTACATAAATTACTCAAGCGGAGCCTCCCAAGATTGGGCAGTGCAGCCCCATAGTTAATAGGGATTATTTATCAGGAAGTATGACAACAGCAAGCACAAACCACTCATGCCCTTGTTCAGGTACAGGTTAATCATCTAGCGGCAGGATCAATACATGCCCATGAAGTAAGTACACTTGACTTGACATCAGCATGATTTCTCTATACGTGATTTGGCACCAAATAACAGGGTATAGTTTGCAATATTTTGCATTATTTTTCGACTTCACAGTGAATAAGAACTTAGGTAATCTTTTTTTTTTTTTTTTTTTAGTCAGAGACTCACTCTGCTGCCCAGTCTGGAGTACAATGGCATACTCATGGCCACTGCAGCCTCGACCTGCTGGGCTCAGGTGATTCTTCTGCCTCAGCTTTCCAAGTAGTTGGAACTACAGGTGCGTGCCACCACCATGCCTGGCTAATTTTTTGATTTATTGTAGAGATTAGGTCTCATCAACTTGCCCAGGCTGGTCTCAAATCCCTGGGCTCAGGCAATCATCTCACCTCTGCCTCCCAATGTGCTGGCATGAGAGATGTGAAGGTAATTTTTTAAATTAATAATTAATGGCCGGGTGCAGTGACTCAAGTCTATAATCCCAGCACTTTGGGAGGCTGAGGTGAGAGGACTGCCTGAGCCAACGGGTTTGAGAACAGCCTGGGCAACTTGGTGAGACTTCATCTCTACATTAAATAAAAAAATTAGCTGGGCGTGGTAGCAAGTGCCTGTAGTTCTAGCTACTTGGAAGGCTGAGGCGGAAGGATCATCTGAGCCCAGCAGCTCGACACTGGGGTGGTCATGAATGTGCCACTGTACTCCAGTCTGGGCAATGGAGTAGATTCCAACTCAAAAATAAATAAATAAACAAACAAATAATTCAGTATCAAAATACATATCTATCCTTGAGAAATTTTTAAACTTATTTATATTTATTTAAAATAAATAAATATGGTGAGGTGAGGAATGACATTTAGGTTTATTCAATTTTGTGATCAACAACTTAATATAAAACTGGGGAGCTAATTATGCTGGGTATTCTAGAAATGATACTTCTCTGAGAAAGCTGATTGCAGAACGACCCTGGAAAACCATTTGATCTTGAGGAAGTTACTCCTCTCTTGGCCTCGCTTACCTTGTCTCCAAAATGAGTGGGCTGCACTAAGAGAAGTAACAGATTAATTTAGGAAGAATATACTCTATTATTTAATACACAGCATGCTATGCTCAGTAGCATAGATACATTATACTGTATGCTACATATTCATGTATGATCCACTGTGCTATACTATAGAAAATGCTTGTCGTGAGGACACTCTGAATACCTGGGTATCAATCCACTTGGTTCCGGTCTTAGTGTGTTCTACTTTTCCATAGAAGTGCACAGGCAGCATGAATTCTGGGCGGGACTTCTCCCAAGGGTTTCCATATCTGAGCCAATCATCTGCTTCTTCTACCTGCAAAAGGATACAGTATTGCTTAGAATTTATTTGTCAGGAGATGAAGACCTAGCACTTCAATTATATAAAATTAAAAATATCTATAACAGACAAAATTCAGGAATACTGGATACTGTTTTGTTATTGTCTTTCAGTCTAAATCAACAACAATGTTGTTTTAAACACAGCCTGAGATTTTTTTTTTTTTTTTTGAGTTGGAGTCTCACTCTGTCACCCAGACTGGAGTGCAGTGGCTGCTCCCGGCCACCGCAGCCTCGACCTGCTGGGCTCTGGCGATCCTTCCGCCTCAGCCTTCTGAGTAGCCAGAATTACAGGCATACGCTACCATGCCCGGCTGATTTTTTGATTTATTGTAGAGATGAGGTCTCACTGCCCAGGCAGGTCTCGAACCCGCGGGCTCAGGCAATCCACTCACCTCAGCCTCCCAAAGGTGCGGGATTACAGGCTGAGTCACCGAGCCCGGCTAGCTTGAAATATTTGATGTGTATTATTGTATTTAATCCTCACAGCAACCTAAAGGGTATAACTATGATTTATTTATTTTTTGAGAGAGAAGAAAAGATTTATTTAAAAGTAAATTAGAGAAAGAAAGAGAAGGGAGAGAGAAGATTCACCTCCCCAAGGTGGGGAAGGGGGCCAAAGCCCGGAAGCATGGCAATAACCATAGCTCAAAGAGCACATGGCCACACTAGAGTCTAGCAAGGTAATGGCCCTTCTTTTTTTTTTTTTTTTTTTTAAAGAGGAGAAACTGTAACTGCCCAAGGTCACACAGTAAATGGTAGAGTCAAGATTTGGTCTTAGGTCTCTGTATCCAGAATATGCATTATCAGTAAAGAAAAGCTACTTATAGAACACTCCAGAGCCCATGTCTTAACATCTGTAAATCCAATTGTCCAGCCTGTGCTCAAGAGAGAGGCATTCCAGAAATGTTTATCATTGGACACCTGGACTGGATAATCAATTCCACACAATGGATCAGTCGAGATTCTTGTGCCAAGAATACACAGACCCGTTTAAGAAGTACTACTTATACAACACGCCCTTAATAAAGCTTATTTCACCACCCTGGGCAACATAGCGAGACCTTGTCTCTACAAAATATAAAAACATTAGCCAGGCATGGTGGCACATGCCTATAATCCCAGCTACTTAGGAGGCTGAGGCAGAAAGACCACCTGAGCCCAGGAGGTGGAGGCCGCAGTGAGTCGTAATTGTACCACTGCACTCCAGCCCGGGTGAGAGAGTGAGATTCTAACTTAAATAAAATAAAATTAAAAATTTTAGTCCAGGTTCATAGCAATATTACATTTTATAGTCTTTGTTTACCTTAATCCTTATGTGATTTAAATCTGATAATGAACTGTAAATTATGGTTTATTTTGAAAGTAGCAGATACTAAGAGCTAAGAAACTTATTGACAACCTCAAATTTTCCCAAGTTTTTATGTCAATTTATAGAAAGTATTCCTTATAAAAAGTTTAAAACCCTGGTTTCTATTTAGGGTATCCTGGTCACCAAATAAATTTTGTTTTGCAACAAACAAACAAAGAAAAACACCAAACAAGAACAACAACAACAACAAAAAACACATTTGGGAGATATTTTTAAAGTAAATATTTTATTAGTGAAACCTTTACATATATAGTCATACTTTCCTTAACAACAGGGATCTGTCTGAGAATGTGTTGTTAGGCTATTGCATTGTTGTGTAAACAACATGGAGTGTACTTACACAACCCTTGATGGTATAGCCTACTGCACACTTAGGCTACAGGGTATAGCCTGTTGCTCCTAGGCTACAAATCTGTATAGTATGTTACTGAATACTGCAGGTAACTGTAATGCAATGGTAAGTCTTTGTGTATCTGAACATAAAAGAGGTACAGTAAAAATATGGTATAAAATATTTTTAAAGTGATACACCTGTATTGAACAGCTCCATTAAAATTATATGAGAGCCCTGTCATATATGTGGTCCAACATTGACTGGAATGTCACTATGCAGCACATGACTGTATATTGAAACATGGAATGGTGTTCTGGCAAGAAGTACCTTTGTCAATGGGATTTTCCCAAATATGGTTGTTTTACCTACTTGCTTCCTCTCTCTCACCTCTTAGGAGTCTCAACTTTAGTCTTAGAAGATTGCTTAAGAACTAGGACACAATGCTGGACACCTCATGATCATCAAACATGGGCTCAATTCCTGCCCCAGGACATGTGAAAAGAGAAACAAACACAGTTCCTATCTGTTGAGATTTTAGACAAAACGTTAATGTGAACAGCCAGACAAGCAAAGACACGTTCATTTACATTGATCTTGACTTTGTATCAAGACAGTCTGTAAGCTGCCCATTAATATTAACTACCAGCGTAATGATAAATGGAAAGGGGACTCATTAAATAGCATCAGAGAAGAGTCAGAGAGTCTCTGCAGGCAGGAGATAGACTGGAGCTAATCAGCAAATCACATCTTGGTAAAATGCAGATTCCCAGTAGGTCTGATGAGGGTCTGAAATTGTGCCTTTCTAAACAATTCTGGGGGCTCCTGAAGTTGCTGGTTTCTAGACCACATAAAAAGCAGCCAGGAGCTATAAGGTGATACAAAGTCAATAACTGTAATTCTGTAGTTCAGAACTGGAAAGTAAATTTCTGCTATTCCAGTCATAAAGAGAACAAAAGATAAAATACAATTTAATAAGGAAATGGTTGAAGTTTGCCAGTGGATAAGAAGCTTGTAAAGAGTCTCGTAACTTGTGTTAATAACTAGGAAATCTATGGCACATATGTGATGATATCCCCAAGTGATGAAAACATCTTGACTTATGTAATACTTTATGCTGCACTTAGTTAGGCAAGGGCAGATTTGGGGTTTTAAAATACTGGTCGGCCGGGCTCCATGGCTCAGCCTGTAATCCCGTGCTTTGGGAGGCCGAGGTGAGTGAATTGCCTGAGACCGCAGGTTTGAGCCCGCCTGGGCAACTTGGCGAGACCTCATCTCTACAATAAATAAAAATATTAGCCATGTGTGGTAGCGTGCGCCTGTAGTTCCAGCTACTTGAAAGGCTGAGGCGGAAGGATCACTGGAGCCCAGCAGGTCGAGGCTGCGGTGGCCGGGAGCGACCACTGTGCTCCAGTCTGGGTGACTGAGTGAGACTCCAACTATAAAAAAAAAACAAAAACCAAAAAAACCAAAAATAAAATAAAATAAAATAAAATAAAATACTGGTCAATGTGAACACTGCTTTCTGTAATGGGAAAGGGCTGTATGACTGTTTGCCTCATTCAAGTACTCTGGGCTGTTGTAAAACACACCTGGTGGTGTCGCATGAAACAGAAGGACAGTGAGACAGAAACAGTTTTCCTCCGAAAAATGTTGTGCATGAGAGAACCGATGACACCTTTTCTGCTGAGAAATGCTGTGGGACCATATGCTGTTCTGCCTCCAAGAAACTGGAGCTGGGTTGTGAACTTCCCATGGCTGGCTTGCTCCCATTTGCTCTCTTGAGGGTTCACTCCACAGTGACCAGGGAATAGTCAGCTAATTAGTCTTCATGCCATTAAGTTTGGCTTTATTTTTTTCCCTGCCAAATGATGTTTGGTTTTAACTCCATGGGGCTGACACGTTGTAGGAGATTCTGTTTGCTATTCTTTATTTTAAAACTCTTCCTGATTTGGTAAAGAATTAGTAAATAATTCTATCCATTTTATAAGGTTTAAAAACTATTTTGCAGCCAGAGGGTGCATGTGCAGGTTTGTGACAAAGGTAGTGTGATGGTGAGATTTGAGCTTCTGTTAAACCTGTCATCCAAGTTTGCAAACATGGTGCCCCATAGACAGGTTTTCAACCTTGCTCTGCTCTCTCTCTCCTCCCTTTAGGAAGCCTCATCCTCTGTGTCTGTTATTCCACTTCTATGACAAGCCTTGTTTTTAAGGTAGATTGAGAAAAACAGGTATTTCATAACCACAAATTGATCTGATAAGGTCTGAGGAGAAAGAGGGAATATCCTCCCCCCAACACGCACTTCCCCACCCCACCCTGCCCCTGCCCCCACTCAATCCACAGAAGCTTTCTTGCTCCACAGGAGCTACCTTGCTCCCTTGCAATGGACTGACAAATTGGTCTGTACATTTAGATTTCCATGTAGCCAGTGGTCCCCGGATGCACTAACATGTGGAGCCATATGAAAGGGGGTTGGGAGGGAGATGGCAGAAGAGCTTTTATCTCCATCCGAGTGGGCTGTCAAGTCTGTTTCACCCTAGAGGTTACACAGGGCTGAACAAAGCAAGCATGTGGCTCTGTGTAGCGAAAGGGCCAACCTGAGTGGGGGGCGGCAGCTGGACTGGGCATCTCCCTAAAGGAATTACTCAATGGAATCTGGATGCCAGCCAGCAACAAAGCAGAGGTCAGCTAAGGGGGCTCTGTCAGTGACTGAATTCTAAGAAATGCTTTTCCCCTCCTCTGTAGAGTACATGAAGAACCAGAGAACAAACATCAGGCGAGTCAACAAACTTTGCTTTCTGGTGGTACAAATAATTGAAAAATGTTTCTGGGGCCCACCAATAATTCAGCAGTGATAACTAGAAGCTTGCTGGGAACGTGAACCATGCATGGACAGGCTGCCAGAGGCTTGGCGTGGGCTCTAATTGGAGAGAAAAGGGTTACAGTGGATGCTTTGATTCAACCTGAGATACATACTGAGAGTGCCTTTCTACCCAGGATCTTGGTGGCTATTAAACTTTTATGTGAGGTCATTGCAATTGCCTTTCCTCTTCCTCCCAAGGGCCAGCTATTTTCATAGAGAACATTTCCTGAGAAGGTTTCAGTGATCTCCGTTAGAGTTCGTGGTAGGCCTAGAATTTTACCAACACAATTTCCTCAGAGGGATTGACGATGAACACGTTACGACTGCGTAGAGGCTAAACCAACTCCATCTTGCAGACTAATCTGCCATGTTGGCTTCTGGTTAACCCCCTTTCTGGGTGGGCCTCTAAGACCTTTCATGTATCTATTGTTCCTTGTGTAAGAACAGGCACTTACTGTAAATCCTGCTGTTAGGTCAAACAACCTTGATGTTATCGTACTTCAACTGTCCTACCCATCCTTTTTGAATCTCCTCTTTCCCATGGTATATAAACCCTAAGTCTGGGGGGATCCGCCATCTTGTCTCATTCCTGTCTGTGACACAGACATGGCTTCTGTTCCTAAGTCCCCATTAAATGTTTCCTTCTAAGAAACTAGATATATCAGGCTCTTTCTTCAGTCTCTCAGCTTCCTCAGACTTGGTGGGTTTGCAAAGACCTGCCCATCACAAAACAGACTGCAAATCTTCCTCGAAGAGACTCAAAAATTAAAAGTCCATCAACCTTTAGAAATTTCCCCAGGAAGTAGAATTTGCACCAGCCTTCTCTGAATCTGCCACCACAAGGACAGTGATACATGGCATGACCATACTCTGAAGAGGCATGCTGCTTCCTTGGCAGATTTTTTTTTTTTTTATGGAAATGGTTTCTTTTTCTACAGTATCACATATTTTATGTCTGTCCTTTAAAATACCATTCCAGTAAACAATGGAGGTGGTAAGTAAAATCATCTGCTCTTCTGATTCAATTTCAAGTCAAAATGGAACAAGTGATGATGGTTAGTAAGTGTTGGAATATTTTGAATTAGCAAAACCTATTTCATCTCCTGTTTTTCTTTTGGAACATGGAAAATGCATGGTCTGATAGGAGAGAAAGGGACAGCTTATTGGAATAAAGACCATTTAAAAGGAGCAAAAGTAAGTCATAATAAAGAGGGAACTTAGTCCAGTGCAGTGGCTCATGCCTGTCATCCCAGCGCTTTGGGAGGCCAAGGAAGGTATACTGCTTGAATCCAGGAGTTTGAGACCAGCCTGGGCAATATAGCAAGACTTTATGTGTACAAAAAGTTTTAAAAATTAGCTGGGCACGGTGGTGCATGCCTGTAGTCCCAGCTACTCAGGACACTGAGGTGGAAGGATCACCTGAGCCTAAGAGGACAAGGCTGTAGTGAGCTGTGATCATGCCACTGTACTCCAGACTGGGAGACAGAGTGTCTTCAACTCAAAGAAAAAGAAGGGGAAAAAAAAGTATTTTCATGAAATTTTGGAGGAAAATATCCTTGAGGAAAAAATTTTTTTTGAGATTAATTTGCTGAGTTTCCTTTATATCTTTCACTCAACAGTAGTTAAAAGATAAGAGACAAAATCCTTAAACATCCTGAGCTATAGAGAGTACCAGACTTTTAAAGACTAAAAACAGATACCATGCGTTGTTTGGTCAGGTTGGTTCAAAATGTTGGTTATATTGCATACTGAGTGTACAAAAGAACACTGAATGTGGGCCTGAAATCTGGGGATAGAGACGCAGTTTTGCCAGCGGTGCGAGTTGAGAGAACTTCACTTCTTAAGAGACTTCGTTTTCTCACCTACAAAATGGCCACATGCTTGCTGCTGTCAAGGCCTCTTGACTGAGATCATGAGTCAAAGATGTGCTCCTCCACCGTGAATGCTGCAGAGGATGAATGGTGGTGGCCTGCATTACGGCAGTCAGTGATAAAACTCTTCAGAGCACCCTTGTGAGGCAGGCACTGTGCTAGGTGCTCTGGACCTAGTGTTGGGTGGTAACGGCAGGCTCTCTGCTCTTAGAGAGCTCACATTTCAAAAGGGGAAGACTGACAGTACCCACCGATGCCAACCACACGCCAGAGGAATTAGTCAAGCTTCACGTTAAAGGTCCGTAAATTATAAATCACCCAGAGTTCTTTGAAAGAGAAGTACCTTAATGACACAATTGGAAAGATGGCTCACATACCTGCCATCCATCTCGAATCTTCTGATTGAAGATTCCGTATTCATACCGGATGCCGTATCCGTAGGCTGCAAGTCCCAGGGTTGCCATGGAGTCCAAGAAGCAGGCTAAATTCACCAGAGCACAGGGAAAAGGCAGTCATTAAGCTTAGCCAAAATGTCCAATCTTTCCCTAAGAAACACAGCAACCACAAAGCAGTTTCCTTCCTTCTTTCCTTCGTTCCTTCCTTCCTTCCCTCCTCCCTCCCTCCCAGGCTGGAGTGCAGCAGCACACACACAGGCACCGAAGCCTCAACCTGGGCTCAGGCGATTCTCCCGCCTCAGCCTTCCAAGTAGATGGAACTACAGTTGCACGCTACCACGCCCGGCTAATTTTTCATTTATTGTAGAGATGAGGTCTCATCAATTTGCCCCGGCTGGTCTCAAACCCACAGACTCAGGAAATCCACTCACTTTGACCTCCCAAAGTACTGGGATTACAGGCTGAGCCACCAAGCCCGGCCAAAGCATTTTTCTATGATAAACCACATTTGTCTTTTAAAGCACAAATGTCACACAAAATGAGCATTAATTTTTGGTAGTATTTTGCTAATTATAAAATTAATACTAAAGTTAGAAAATACAAACATGTATAAAGAAGAAAAAAAATCATCTATGACCTTACCATCTAGAAATAACCACCATGTACATTTTAATTGAGATAAGGAAGCCAACCTGCATTCAATTTGTCAGTGACTGTCCCTCACACGGTCCTTTCTAAGGGAAGCTCTTTCCATGACCTCCCTGCTTGAAAAGGCAGTCCCAGGAAGGTATAACTTACACATGACCCATTCCCTTCTAGCACCTGACTCACTAGTAGGATGGTCTATGGCCGACTCTCTTTCTTCCTGGCTAATGGAATCCATGGTTCAGTTAGCTGGTGACCATATGTGTCAGGGAGGATCAACCAGGAAGTGAATCGGGTTTGATTGGTCTAATCCTCTAAGCCGATCATAGTAATTCCATTTTCTTCATCAGTGATTGGCTTTGGCATGGGGATAGGATGATATTAACACAATGAGAGGTGCCTGGAAGTTGGTTGGATGCAGAAGACTTCTGGGAAAGATTTTCCTTGCTGCCACCATCTTTTTTTTTTTTTTTTTTTTAAGTTGGAATCTCACTCTGTCACCCTGGCTGGAGTGCAGTAGCACGCTCATGGCCACCATAGCCTACACCTGCCATGCAATCCTGCCTTAGCCTTCCAAATAGCTGGGATCACGATTGCCACCACATCCAGCTGATTTTTCTTGTTTAATTGCAGAGACGAGGTCTTGCTAATTTGTCCAGGCTGGTCTTGAACCCCCAGACTCAGGCAATCCTCTCACCTCCACCTCCCAAAGTGCCGGGATTACAGCTGCTACCATCTTTTTTACATGAGGGAAAGCCAAAAGGACCATAGGGACCTGGAGTCCTGACATAATTGTACTACTAAATAAACTAGTCTTAGAGTTCTTTTCTGGGATAGCACATGTCCTTGGTGGTGGAACCATTTTTTGCTAGGTTTTCTGTTACCTGACAGAGTATCTGATCCAGGACAGCTAACCAACAGGCTGGGTGCCAACTAAGGGGTTATACGCATCAGATGATCCCTCTCAGTAATTTGAACTGAGAGTTATACAGAGAATAAGGAAACACACCAGAGGAATTAAGACAGAAAGGAACATTTGAAGGCTGTCCCTCAAACAGAAAGAGCTTGAGTTAGGCTTGCGGTGCCGCTGTACAACAGAGCTCCACAAACACAAATGGCCAAGGCCTTCAAGTTATTCTCCCAACTCCTGTCCCTGTGCCCATGTGGGCTGGCTCCACTCTGCATCCTGTGCTCTGAGTTGTGGCTCTTGGGTTTTTCTTGAGTCCTGATCACATTATCCTGAGAGCCTGACCAGAATGGGGTCCCAACCTTGATTCCCAGTTTTATTCGCCACTTCTCTCTGTGATGTATCAGTCAACCAATGGAGGGAGGTCATTCTGTCTGGCACAGAGTGGGGTTAACCCAGCCAACACATACTGAAAGTTTTGGGCTTCACATAAAAGGCAGGCAGGCTGGGTTCCAGTCTTAGATGTACATTTCTTTGCCGCTGCTCATCTTCTTACAGCCCCATGGAAAGCCTATTAAATCGTCTGGAAAATAACTTTAAAAAAATGTGGCAAGTATCCCACAGGCAGAGGTTTTGTTTTGTTTTTTTCAAAAGGCAATGTTAAAGCACACTTCAACTAATGTGGCAGGGATTTAAAAAAATGAAACATGCAAATGGCTTTCTAGTAACTTAAATGTATGTGTAATATCAGAAGATTTTTGAACTATGTCTAAAAGTGAAGAAATAGATAATTATTTTTTATAGAGTATCATCTGATGTGTGTGTGTATCACACTTTTATTATTAAGTTTGTTTCACAAGTAATATGTTAATACATCCTCCTTTAAAATAACTTAAATGTTACAGACAAGAAAAATGAAAATGCTGGTGGCCTCTTTGATTGACACCCCAGTTCTGCACTCCTTCCTAAAGGGGGCCTCAGAGAGCAGTGTGGTGTTTAAAATTCCAGATATTTTTCCCTGCATATTTATAAATACATATGCTCACAGAAAATCATTTTTAAAAAACCTACATAGTATCACACTATATGGCTTTTAATGCAATTTGATTTTTTAAAAAACTTGGAAATACATCCAAGGAAGTACATACAGGTAAATTTTGTTCCTTGACAATTACGTATTTTAGAATATTTTACATAGGCAAACAACACTGTAACAATTTTTCCACATCTCCTTATGCACATGTTTTGAGTACTTCTATAAGGTAGATACTAAGAAGTGGAATTGCTTGATTCTAGGGATGCATATTTTTAAATTAAGGGAGCTGCTATTATATTTTTGGTATATTCCTGTATATTTACCAAAAAAACCCAATTCCCTAGATAAAGGAAGGAACTCACATTTCATCCAAACACAAAAAGGATATTAGTTAACTGAATCATATCATGACATTAGTGTATCATTGTCCACCAATCAAAAAGCAAGCAGTCAAGTGCACAAGGCTAGACCATGGCTGAACAGCTGAGGTCATGTCACATAAGTATGTGTATTGACCAGTTGTGTGCAAGTAACAGTGAAGTAAAGGGGCCGCTTTGGAAACCCTTGAGTGCACAGGAAGGATCTGGTTAACTTTAGGTGTTAAGCAATGTCTCCAAAGGCTTTTAAGCAATGTCTCTTTTGTTCAAGTTCCCTCCTCTCCTGTTTATCTAGAATTGATCAAACCACAGTGCAAACTCAAGAACAAACCTATCTACGACCAGGTCATACCTTGCACTTCTTCTAGGAAGCCTGTCTGGTTCTTCCAAGCCTTGCATGGCGTCTGAGACAGCATCGATCACCCAGACAGTATAACATACTTACAACGTCACTTACCAGCAAGTCTCCCAAGACCACCATTGCCAAGTCCGGCATCCTCTTCAATTTCTTCTAACTCCTCCATATCCAATCCAAGCTGGCCAGGAAGGGAAAACAGCATTGGAGGCAGACACAAATACAGGCCATTTCAGAGATGACAGCTGTTTCCTACAGCTCTGGGTAAGGCATTCAGGCTTATCTGTGCATGCAATCTACTGTCAGCTCCCTCAGTGCTTGTCTTGGCATCAGATGCTGTCCGCGAGGCAAGCTGTACAAGATGGTGCAGTCCCCGTATGGAGAAGACTGTGGGCTCTAAATGTCCGCTACTGACTCTGTGACTTCCTTGCTGTACAACCCTGGGCAAGTTACTACATCTCTGCATGCCTCACTTTTCTTCTTTAAAAAAGGTGGAGGATAGTACTACCTACCTCATTTAAGATTGTAGGAAATTAAGTGAGATTACACAAACAAAGCATTTAGAACTATTCCTGGGCAGATATCGCTTAATAAATGTTAATTATTATTATTTTTAATTTTTTTGCATGTGTGTACTACAGGGTTAAACATCAGAAATAGTCCAGTACCAAGCTAACATTAACTGGACTGAGGGATTTTGAAAATGACCAAAAGCTATGAGGTCAGACCTTCCAGAAGGACTAAAGTTCATCCTTCCACGACCACAGCATATTGACTCAGTGGGGTCAAAAGTTGTTAACCCCAAACCAGTGGGTGAGTCACACAGTTCATGAGACCCAGGACCTCAGTCCAGAAGGATGGGGCTAAAATCCTCTACTTCTCCCTGAGGTGGATACCAGGCTTGGAGGCCAAGAAGCATCTGGGAACCTGGGGATGGTGGGATTGGTTGCCAGCCAACTCCCCACCCCAAGGTGCTGGGGATCTCACAGCAGAGCTCACCAGCACCACTGTGGACTCAACTCATAATAACAGAGTTCTGCACCTTGCAGACCCCTCTGGAAATTGCTGATCAGATAAATTAAATGATTGGCTCCTTGTTGACCAGATGCTAATCTATCTCAGACATGACTAAAGGGTAATCTGTTGTGAAATGACTATGTTCTTATCTGAGAGTCAAGCAACCCATGCAACTAAAATTTTTTTTTTTTTTTTTAGTTGGAGTCTCACTCCATCGTTCATGCTGGAGTGCAGTGGCAGGTTCACGAACACCCTATCGTCGACCTGCTGGGCTCAGGCGATCCTTCTGCCTCAGCCTACCAAGTAGCCGAAACTACAGGCACATACTACCACGCCCGGCTAATTTTTTGATTTATTGTAGAGATGAGGTCTCGCCAAGTTGCCCAGACTGGTCTCAAACCCATGGGTTCAGGCAATCCCCTCACCTTGGCCTCCCAAAGTGCTGGGATTACAAGCTTGAGTCACCACGCCCCGCCAACTAAATATTTTTTAAAATGGAAAAATAATCTATGCCCTTGAAAAAATATGCATAAAATGTAACAATGCTTGGAGTTGATGCTCTGGTTTCCATGGCATCACCTGTTTGGATCCCTACCTCAATACCTAAAGTTGCTTCTCACACAGGTCTTGATAACTAAATCTTCAAGTTCAGATGTGGTTTTACCTCTGCTCACTGTTGAAGGGGCTTTCAAATTTGCTCTCTGTTGACTAGAGCTTACCGGGGTCCTTGGGCAAACCAAGTACTAGTGCTAACACTAGGGATTTTTAGAATTCTAAACATGTAAGTCTAAAGCACGATGTTAGACTTTGAGCAAGTAGACACAGATCATCCCACCTGGTTCTATACTACTCCAAGGGAGGCATATTAGTTTCAGCCAACATTAGGGGAAGATAAGAAAAAGGGATGTGGAGGGGGCCTGTGAGGGTTCTCCCAAGGGAAACACACCATGTAACCCACTGGAGGACACATGAGGGGACAATCCCATGTTGAGGAAAAGGGACAGTCTGAACGACCTCTCATTCAGAATTGTCTTTGCAAATACATTCCTCCTTTTAACTGCATGGAAAAGGTTAAGGACCTTTTGTGTTGGGTACTGAGCTACCCGAAGTTCAGGAAAGAAGTCATTAAATACATTCATGAAAACAAACCAGTACATTAGGAGTAAGAGTTCAAGTTCTCCCTTTAAGGTGGAAATATATTCTACATATTATAAAGCAACAGAGAAGGAATTTAAAAGCTTATCGTTTCACATATTGCCTTGATATACGTGTCACAGTCAAATTTTGATCGTTTGTTAACAAGAGACAGGAGCCCAAGTAAAGCTTATGATTCTGACAGCAGGAGACTCAAGTACTCTTTTTTTTTTTTTGAGTTGGAGTCTCACTCTGTCACCCAGGCTGGAGTGCAGTGACCGCTCCCGGCCACCGCAGCCTCGACCTGCTGGGATCCGGCGATCCTTCCGCCTCAGCCTTCCGAGTAGCCGGAACTACAGGCGTGCGCTACCATGCCTGGCTGATTTTTGATTTATTGTAGAGATGAGGTCTTGCCAAGTTGCCCAGGCGGTCTCGAACCCGCGGGTTCAGGCAATCCACTCACCTTGGCCTCCCAAGTGCTGGAATTACAGGCTGAACCACCCAGCCCGGCCTCAAGTACTCTTAAAACCCTTGTTCAGATACCAATTTCTACAATGTATCTTGCTGGGAAATGTTGTCAAAGACTTCATGAGTCATAACCAGTTCTCTAACTTCTTTTTCTGGTTGTGTCTCTTAAGCTAGAGATGACCAGTAATGTATATTTCGAATAGTTTGCAACAGCCACGTCTCGAGAGGCCATTTTCACCTGTTTTATTTTATTTTTTGTGTGTGACGTCTCTGAGGTTCCTGAACCTGAAACTTAAAGGGAGAGGATGAAAGAAAATCTGGGAACAACATACCTGGTAAATGGCCTCATCACAGGCGTTTTGCAGGCCAAGGTTGATCATGGTGTTCTGTAATGTTCGGCCCATGTAAAATTCCAGAGAGAGGTAATATACCCTCTGAAATTAAAGAAAAAAAAAATGAGAGAGAGAGAGAGAGAAAGAGAATGCTTCCTCTTTGAGGTTAATCTTACTTGTCAACATAAAAACACAAGGTCCTATGTGAGGCCACCAAGAAACAAATAAGCAGGACCACTTTAACACAGTTCAAAAGAGACTCTTATTGATGTATGAATCGCTAAATAAAAGTGTTACTGACAATTGGCTTTGGGAAAACCATTTTATACATGATTTCTGGCAAAGTAGGTCAGTATCTTTTACCCCCAGGGAGAAAAAAAGCAAACTCATCTAACTAGGTTCAATGTTTTTGTTTTTTTCCCCTCCTGTTTATGTTCCTCATGAAAAAAGCATATGTTTTGGACAGACAGAAGCCAGACTGTCACAGTTCACCATTCCTTCACAAAATATTTATAGGACACCTTGTGGGTGTGAGTCAGGTGGGTTGGCTATGACCACCTCAAGTCATCCAAGAAACACCAAGATTAACTCCCACGTACTCCATGGCTAGAAAATATTCCTCTTTCACTGATTACAGCAAGTAATTTTACAGTTAATTTTAGAATTAAATTTTTTTCTATAAAGTCTATTTATAGGCAAGTTCCTTCTGAATAAGAAGATGACCTGAGGTTCAGTGGTGCCTATTCTTGTTGAAATAGGAAATGTCTCTATCAACTTTAGAAACTGTTTGCCTTTGACATGGCAAAAGCCAGGTTTAATACCTTCAGAGTTGAAAGAGGTACAAATATCAGATCTGCTTAAAGTCCTTTTATATACAAGCACAGTTTACTACAATAATAAAAAAAGGGTCAGTGAGTAACTTTATCATTCCTTTTTATATTATCTAGCTCTCCATTTCTTTTCTACTGGTCACAAAACAAAACAACAAAAATCTATAAATGTACCAATAGAGTCAGTCACCTCACACTTTAGGACTTCCCTATTTCCCTAAGATAAGAAGGACCAAAAAGAAAAGTATTTGGCTAATCCAAAAAACATCTCTAAAATTACTAATATAATTCAGTATAATAAATAAAGGCCTATTAGAATAATTAATATATTGGTTACATATATATTTAAAATAAAATATTATTTGAAATTTCAGCTTAGAAATTTCACTCTTTCCCGCTTTCCTTTTATGAAACAATTGAGTTTTGTCTTCACCTGCGTTGGAACCATCCATGTCAGACTGGGGCATCTACCACTGCTTTCCAGAGCTCACCATCTTTATTTTTATCCAAACTGTTTGAATGTCTATAAAGCTGTCATAGCTCACCAATCATTCATAAAATATTGAAGGACACTTTGTGGGTGCAGGCCAGGTGGGATGACTGTGACCCTTACTGGAACCCTTACTAGTTTATTAAATGCCTTTGCATGATGGGAAAAAGGTACCTTTGAGCTCTTGTACATGACCACTGTTGCCAGAGGGAATAGTATCTTAAGCCACAAATACTCACTTGGATAATATTAGCACAGTTATTTTTTATTCTTCCCTGTATGTATTTTCATTGTCTCTATAATGTAATCATGATGTTTCCCCTTTTTCTTTTTTTCTTTTTTTTTTGAGTTAGAGTCTCACTCGGTCGCCCAGATTGGAGTGCAGTGGCCGCTCCTGGCCACCGCAGACACGCCGGCTGGGCTCCAGCGATCCTTCCACCTCAGCCTCCCGAGTAGTCAGAATTACAGGCACGCGCTACCACGCCGGGCTGATTTTTTGATTTATTGTAGAGATGAGGTCTCGCTGCCCAGGCGGGTCTCGAACCCGCGGGCTCTAGCAATCCACCCACCACAGCCTCCCAAAGGCATGGGATTACAGGCTGAGCCACCGAGCCCGGCTCCCCTTTTTCTTTTTAGTGATCTAGAGAAAGCTTGTTTATAAATAAAGTATATAACAAACACTTGCAATTGTGAGGTCGTGCTCCCAGAAATAATGACTTCATCTGTGTTAAAATTCTTTGCCTCCCTTTTAATGATTCCAAATTAGCCCATTTAATCATTAAGACATTTAAAAATATTTCTAGGTTTTTCTTTAAAAAATGTGGTTGAAAATAAAGTAAATAAGAGAACATCTCTTTACAGGACAGTCTTTATAAGGGTGGGAATGTAAGGTGATTTTCTATTTTCTCATAAATAATATTTTGGGGGAACCTCACCTTATATTTGGGAATATGTAAGACCTTGAAAAACAGATCTCTGTCATTTTCTTAGTTAATGGTCTCGCAACATATGCCTAGTGGTAAAAAAATATATATAAGCCGGGCTCGGTGGCTCAGCCTGTAATCCCGCGCCTTTGGGAGGCT